CTCAAAATATCCAAAATTTCAGATATCACTCTCACCCAAATAAGCGTATTGTGGAAAGTTAGTGTCGATCAAAAAATTGGTTCAAAATCGGATTTCATGAGCAATGTTTCAAAGTCCACAAAAAGACACGTGAAATCAGAGAAAATTTGAATTGTTTCACTAGGTACAGAATCGGTTTGCCTACCGATTTTGTACCTCGTGGCACAATTCAAATAATACTTGATTTTGGCGTGACCACTTTTTCCTTTAAAAAAGTACAAAATCGGGAGACAAACCGATTCTGTACCTGTAGAAGAAAAGAAGGCACAGAGCAACAAAAAGTTTAAAGTGCAGGAAGATTGGTTGTCACCTGGATTTGATAATACTACTACACTGTCCAATTTCAATTTGTCCACCTATTTTTTCGTTCAAGATCATTTTCAGATCCATCAAATAAACATTTTCTATAACTTTGACTAATTTCTGGAATATTCATAATTTTTGTACAGAAAATTCAGATATCTGGTGAAACTGAAATAAAGGCTACATGGTACATGAAATCATCAATTCGAGCTGTTTCTATACATGCGAAAAAAATTCTTCAAATTTCAACCGTCTTATATTATGATAAACATTTTGGCAGTTGACCACTTTTTTTTATATCTTTTACAGGAAAGGAGATGATTGAGCTCAAGGTTGGCGGTTTGGGTGACGGCTTCTATTATAGGAATACGGTATTTAACTGAAGATGGCATCAAGCCGAAACGTTGAGAATAAATAATTTTTATTCATATTCGTGCCTCCAACCGATAAGGTCACCAAGAAGATTCTTCACACACAAGTTTAATTTTGACAATGCACGAAAAACGGATTGCCTATATCCAATCGGTATTTTAACTGTTAGAAGGATGGAAAGTATGGAATTTAGAAGAAAAATAAAAGCAAAACTTTTTTCCAAATTATTGACAACGAGGAAAAATCATAATCTCAAATATGCAGAATCAGTTGTGTAATCATCTCAATTTAGAAAGAGCACAACATACCTTCGATATGAGAGTTTTGTTCTTTACGGGAATGATTCATAGGTAGTAAAACCTATTTTCTTATTGTTGGTTAAATTCACTGGGTAGCAAAAGGACAAATCTACCGAGGTAGTATTGTGTTCAGACCCTGAGACTATGCTCGAAGAATTTGTTTTCAGCTAAATTCTCAGATGATTTCTCATTGGGTCCTATTTTGAAAAAAAAAATCCTAATTATAAAATAACAGACTTTGGAGTGACATAACACTGTGAAATCGGAATATCGTAAAACCTGCATTAGAAGGGCCGGACCTTCTATTGTTCTAACTTGGAACTTCCAAGGTACCTCTGGAGGACCCTTCTATTACAGAGACCCTTCACTCAGAACATTTTGGCTAAAAAATAACAATTCTCGAATTTCAAAATATTAGGTTGGCACATAAGTTTCTTTCGATTTTCAATGCTCAACTTTGAGATGTATCTAAGCAGTGGGATAGTTTTTCTTGGTGAATGCTTTTTTTGTTGGATAGAGTATCTCACGGACTTGCTATATACATTTTGCCTCATCCGTTCTTCTTGCCGTTCGCGAGCATGCCGCCTGCTTCCGTCCCTTACCGCCCACACTTTCAAAATGACATTCTATTTTTACTCCTTTCTGGTTTGAAACACCACTATATTCACAAGAAATTGGACGAAATAGACAAAGAAGGACCTTCTACTGTCTATACGATCGAGCATTGGACCGAAAAATTTGAAGCCAAAAATTAAGAATCGGAATACGAAGATCGGTCCAGAAGTTGGACTTGGGCCTATTGAAAAATACTACTGAAACCTATCCGTTTCAAACCACTTGTGGAATATCACAGACATTGCCCTTTAGTCAACCAAGTTTTGTGAACGGATTGAGGTCTCTTGGCGATGTCAAAAATTTGATATATTCGTACCCCATGTTTTGGAGGACTACGACATTGATCGCTGTGTAGACATGAGCATGTTTCTCCTATCATTTCTTCCTACGTTCTGTTGGGTGAATGATCTAACTATCGTAGATGAGAAGTGGGTAAGTTACTCTAACAATGTGCGGAAGGGTCAGTTGATTAGCAAAGAATAGCTAGCTACGGACGTCCCGAAACTTAAAATTACTGTGAAAAGGAGGTTGTTATGTATTTGGCGGTCTTTCAAAGGAATGGAGACTGGGAACTTTCAGATGAAAATACCACTATAATTGCCGCGTTGTATAGTTTCTAATTAGAGAAATTAAATTTGGCAGACGAATCAAAACGAGGAGAAAAAACAAAGTTTGCTTCCAGTGCGACAATGCTAGATCGCTTGTGAATAGAGGGATCAGCCATAAATTCATGTCGTTTGGCTGAACTATTCTTTCGCGCTCATCGTATTCTTCGGACCTTGCCCTTTAGGAAAAATAGTATTTTGGAGCTCATAAACATCAACTTGATAAAAAGTACTTCAATTGAAAAGATGACACAGAAAAGGAGTTGACCCACTTTTTTAATCCCTCGTCGTTCTGGGCCGATGGAGTCAAGGAATTGCCTAAGTGTTGCCATACAACTATCGATGCTTATGGACGTTACTTTCATTGATCTAGCCCCTTCCGCTTTGAGAAAAATTTGATCAAAAATGTTGCCAAAATCGAAAGAAACTTATGTGCCAACCTAATAGGATCGAGCTTTAGGGTTAGTTTTCTGGGTGATATCACTGAATTTCTGAGAATTCAATTCCACTCCAAAACAAAGTAATAAAATATGAAATGATAAGACCCTCTACAACTGATTTATGTGTCTGGAATGTCTGAGAAATTTAAGACTAGTTCAAATCACGAAAAGTCCACTAAAAAGTTTGTCTGATTTACAACAATTTTTGTTTTTTTTCTGAAGCTGAACATTCCTGGATACGGATCTTCTAATTTTTTGTTCCAGAATCTTCTTCCCGTTCTCCTTCTCTCCTTGAAAAAATATTCTTCCCATATCTTCTACTAATCTCCGTGTGTTTTACCCCTCTCTTTCTAATTTCTGTCATCAGAATGAAGGAATCCGTGATGGAAACAAGAAGGCAACGTGGCCAGTACTGCCCCACCCATTACTTTCAATCATCCCATTCCTCTTTTTTCTACAGTATTCCAGATGATTATTCCCCACGGAACAACATGAATCCATTTGTATAGAACGAGTAAGACGCGCGAAAAAACACACGCCCTTAAGCATGGTCATTTCACCGACGACGACGCAATGCGATTGAATTCGAAGTACGAATTACCCGAGACTGTCTCCTGTTTACGTCTTCTTCTTTTCCTTTCTGTCATCCGAACCTCGCCAATTATCTTCTACGGAAAAGAAGAAGAAGACGGACGTTGTATGTTGTCGCAGGCGTTGGAATGCCTACATTTTACGTGTCTCTTTTCTCTGTCTCACTGTCTGCTGTATGAATATGTTTATGTTTCGTAAAACCTATCCTCTCTCCAGAAAAGTTACGACATTTCAACTACTGATCCGATTCCCAGTTGATACTTTATGACTCAATTTTATGAAGAGGTCAAGATTTTTGAATTACTGTACTTTTGGAGAAAGTTCTTCTCATAGTTTCGCGGAACTACATTTTTAACTTGCACTGGTTCCTTTTGAATAACGCTGATTGTCAGATATTCATAGAAATTGATTTCAGTGACTTTGTTTCAATTTGAATTTTTACCTTTTTTGTTTTACTGCATGAATATCGTAAAACTTGTAATAGAAAGACCCCCACACTGCCAGGTTTAATCTCAATTATCTCAATTCCTTTGAAAGACAAAAAAAAAATTTGTCAACTGACAAAACATTTCTGATAATATCATAAACAATTTGTCAGTTGACAACTTTTATATATCTTAGACAGGAACCGAGATAGAAGTTAAAAGTTAGGGGCCCTTTTATTTCAGGTTTTTCGAATTGTTGATCCTCATAAAAATGACGAAAAACTTCTAGACTTTGAATTTCCACCAGAGTTGAATTTTATTTCCTTCCGTTTTTAAGAATACGGACCAGAATTTTTCGTTTGAATTAACTTCTTCCCTAAGAAAATTCTAGACATAAAACCTGTATTAATAGTGCCCCCATACTGTCAAATTTGAGCCCTAATATCTCAATTCCTATGCAAGATATCAAAAAGTGGTCAACTGACAAAATACTTCTGATATTATGATAAACAATTTATCAATTGACAGCTTTTTTATGTCTTTGACAGGAACCGAGATGAACTGGCTCAAAGTTTGAAGTTAGAGGCCCTTCTAGTACAGGTTTACGATATTATATTTCTGATAAGATATTTCTGTAATTCAATTTTCAACCAAAGTTGAATATCAATTATATGCATCTTTTCAAATTTTAGGTTTCCGAGTTTGACTAGATGATATATTATTTCCGTTTCAGCTTTTTATTTCTAGTTTTGCTTTTCCGGAATTTTTTTTTCTTGCAGTTCTTTTTTTCTCCCTCAAAAACATTTGCAACATAATTTGAATATTCCATCTTCTTCACTTCATTGCCATTTTACATTTTTCCATCCATAATACAAAAAATCGAAAATCCGACAGGTTTCGTCCTCTCTCTGAAACCAGAAGCGTTGTGTCATTGTTGAGGTCTTATCCCCCCGTTTTCCAATGTTTATTTCATCGTCATCGTCGTTTTTTTCACTTTATTTCACTCTAAAAGATGCCATTCCAAAGCCACGCCCGTCTTAAAATGGATGAAAAAATGGATGAAAAAACTGAACAAAGAAAGAACCTTGGAACCTAAAAAGTTATTTATCAAGTTAGACGAAAGTCAATGACCATCCATTAGACATGACAAAAAGGTTCCAAAAAAGTTTTGGTTCACCTCGGAAAGCATTTCCGTTTTCATCTGAATTTTCCTTTCATCTTTTCCCTGACCGCATTTGCCTTTTATGAGAAATTAGAAAAGAAACTATTTCGTGTTTTGGTTTGGTATACAATTAGAAAAAAAACACTTTCACTGGGAGTAGTACATACCACTATTTAGGGGAAAATCGTTTCACTCAATTTTTCGCTTTTCGAGAAAGTCATTTAAGAGAACAGGGTCAGTGAAAAATTGGGGTTTTAGTGGAGGAATTTCTCAATTTTCTTGCAAATCATATTTTGGACATGAAGGTTTTGTATTAATTTTACGTTTTTTTTTTGTTTTCGAGGTTTTTATTCTTCAGGGTGGCACATAATCACCCAGTTTGTACTAGCATAACATTAGATTAGAGCATTGTACTGTGCTCAAATTCGGAGTCCAAATAATTCATCAGTAAACTGGCCAAGTTTGGACAATCATAACAATATCTAGACTCGAGGAATCGCTTTGGAAATTTCAGAAGCTTTGAATAAAACCAAAAATTACATTACTTTCAATTTTCGTGCTTCCAAGATACTTATATCTGAAGATATACTCATTTTTATCAGCCCTAGTAATTGTGCGCCACCCTGTAAATCGAAAAATTCTAAGTTTCCCAAATATTCCGCCTTTCCATCATCATCCTTTTGCCATATATCACACACAATTATCCTTCGGATACGTCTCTACTCCATGAATGATGTTTTTGGCACGCGCTGTAGGTAATGTGGTGAATCTCTGTTTTTTTTTCTCTCTCGTTGTATCTCTATTTTCCCATCGTATACAACTTCATGAGACCTTGTATAGGGGCAAGAAAAACAGTAAAAGAAGAGAATGATGATGTTAGAAAGAAGGAGAAAGGGTGTGGTTTTGGTGTGATTCGTTTTTTTTTCGACGGATTGACGCTGCGCCTTCTCTTCTCTCAACCGCAATGCGATCGCTTACGATTCATGATTATCTTGGTTTTGTTGTTTAGTCTCCCCCTCTCTTTTTCCTCCAATTTCGACTTTTTATTACTCCTATTCTTGATTTTACATTTGTATCTCAATCCCCCGCAATCCTTGAAGTTGTATTCTGTTTATACAACCCTCCCAGGCCCTCCAAGCTCAGTGGGGGATATTCATTTGAGGTCACTATTTCCATATTCTTTGCTTTTTATTCTTCCATTCCTTTTCCAATCTTTTTCAAATCTGATCGGGTTTTTTCCAGTTTCAAGTTCACTTTCCTCAAGTGTGTATCCTTAGAAATTCTCACGTCTTCATCTTTATCTTCAAATAGAAAAGTTTTGGGCCAAAGTTTTTGACCTTGAATATCAGTTCTCCCTTATCAATACTTGTTCTGATCAGTCTTGTCAAACCTATTATTTGATGGCTTCTTCTTCTGAACAAAAAACTAGGACAAATACGATTCTTTTTCTTTTATTTGGTGTTTCATCTCTTCTTTCCAATTCTATGTATTTATCAATTGTTCTCTTACAATCAGAAAAATTGTTCTTTTTATCTAATTTGATACCTACTTTTCGGTTAATTTACCGTATTTCCCCTAATGGAAGTCCACCCAAACCGTCAACTTTGAGCTCAATTATCTCATTTTCTGTAAAAGAAAGCAAACAGTAGACAACTGATAAATTGCTTATCACAACATCAGAAGTGTTTTATCAGTTAACACATTCTTGATATCTTGCACAGAAATCGAGATATCTGAAGACTAGACAATGTGAGGGCACTTCTATTATATGTTTTACGGTAAATATCCCAAACATTTTGTACTCTTTTTTCTTAGTTTATAATTGTATTCTAAAAAAACAATTTCAAAACTTCCAATTTTTTCTAGCATGGCAAAAGTGGAAGTTCAAATTCGTCGATGTTTCTGTTGCGGTCTCTCCGTTGCCACATCGGTCATTGCCGTCTACACATTCGTAAGTTTGATTTCCAATCAATTCCCTAAAATCAAAATGAGCCACGCCTCTTTTTTCCTAACGCCTTCTTCTTCTTCTTCTCACTTCTTCTTTTCTTTTCTAATCACTTGTATAAAAACAGGAATCCAGTTCACCGTAATATTACACAACCCGTAATAGGGAGGCCTATTGCCATCGGAGGAAGCCAATCTCTTTTGATTTATAGGTCCGTTGGGGGGAGTGACAGAAAATCAGAAGTTAGAGAAGAAGAAAATAATGTACAGAAGATATTAATGAAAAGTAAAATGGAAAACAATGAATTGGAATTTTTGAGATTGTAGATTTTTGGATTCTTTACTGGTCCCCTCTATCGAATTTCACTTTATAGAACGCCCCTAACTTTCAAATTTGAGCCAATTCATCTCGGTTCCTCTGGAAGATAGGAAAAAATAATCAACCAACAAAATCTTTGTGTTATTATGATAAACATTTTTTAGTTGACCACTTTTTGATACCTTTTTCATGGGTTCAAAATTGACGATTTGGGGGCGTTCTGTTGAAGTGTTTACGGTGAAAGAGCTCAAAAGGAAAGTTTAGGGGTGACGTTCTATTTGAATAAATGCTGTTCAAAATCTCTGGCTTCTGGTAATAAAGTTCAATTTTTTCAATTTCTTTATCTCATGTCCCATGTTATCTTCCTTATATATAAAACGCTACACGCGTCTGTTGGTCCTCATGTCAGGCTGTCATCTTTTGAAAAGCTCAAAAACAAATATGAATTGACGTGACTCTTTAAGAAAAAGTGCGGCGAACCACTAAAAAAGTAGATCGCGCTGAAGGCGCACCAGCTTGCTGTTCCATAATAAATGCCTAATTCTGTACAGATTCTCTACCTGCTTCTCGCCATCGCAGCCGGAGTTGCTCTATCGGACACTGCTACAAATGGAGATTCCTCACATTACAATTCTTGTGAACTAGAAGCACAAGGAAAAATCAATGCCGAGAATAGAAAATTGACATTCACAGGAGGACGAACTGTTGTTGTTGTGGAGGATTCGACCTCTTATCATTGCTCACTTGGACTTTATACCGAAGAATTGAAATATTCGGCAGCGAGTCAGTATTTTTTCGAGTTAAAATCCACAAGATCTGAAACTTTCAGATCGCTATACATCCCTTGTCATCGATATCATCCTCTATGTCTCCATTTGTCTTGCTTCTGTAATCCTCCTCATCGGACTTTGCAGTTACAATCAATGGCTTCTGATTCCGTGGGGATTCCTGATGATCATCGACATTGTTCGTGGATTCATTTCGGTGTTCTTCATCTTCTGGTATTCTTACGGTAATTTAGCAAGAATTGCTACTGGAATCTTCTTCCTTGGACTACAATTCCTTCATGTGAGTTTATCAAATATCGGTATATGGAACCAAATGTGTTGCAGATCACCTTGTTGATGACAATCATCGCCAAGTTCCAAAGAATTTCCAACAGAAAGAATGGAATTCCAGATAAAGTGGTAAGCTTATTCGATCTATTTCGTTTTTTTTTAAATTCAAAATTTCAGTACGATGTCCGTGGAGGATCCCGTGCTCCATCCACCTACTACGGTGAGACTCATGCAGTTGCTCCACCAGTACACAGAGGAGAGAACTACTATCCGGACCAGCATAGACAACAACCATATGGCCATTATGATCAACAACCACCATACAGATACTAAGAGATTTTGTGGTTCTGTTCTCCAAGTGTTGCTCATCTTTCCCAAATTCCCATTCAGTTGTTTTATACCGGTATCTCTTTTCTCTGCTCCCTCAACACCTTTGTATCATTCTGGAAGAAGTCTTGAACATATATTATTGTTTAGCTGTTTTCTTTTTTGTTTATTTTATAGAGGCAAATATTAATAAAAAAACAAGATTTTTTTATTCAAACATATCCCAGAAATCGACGAAGCCATCGAAGCAGAAAATTGGCGACAAAAGGCCAGAAGACGAAAAACATGACAGTTTTCCATGATGTCGATTTGGGGACGAGAATGTAGACAGTCTGAAAAAGGGAATGAAAATAGATCATTCTAGAATATTCCAGAGAACTTACAGATTTTTTCATCAGACTAATCAACAAATTGTGTCTTTCTTCGACTGCTTTTCCGAGGTTATCAATTGATTCAGTGATAACTTTCAGCTCTTTTTCCAGTCTAAAAAATAAAAAGAAATTGAAAAAAAACAAAAATACAATACCTGTGACAAGTGTTTCTGAGAGATGGAGACCCTTGGCGAGTAACTCTATGTCGAGAAGATGTATGAGGTTCTGTGAACGAAGATGATCTGGAATAATTTTCAATTTTCAAGTTTCAAAAAATTATTAATCAAACCTTGATTGAATTTCGTCATCTAATGCATCAGCGTACTCATTATCCGAAAGCACACATGCACTGGAATTCATCGATTCTTCATTTTCTTGTATTTTAACTGTTTCATTTTTTGGCTGACAGTCTTCTTTTTGAATTTGTTCAATTAAAACGTCTTCTTGTTTTTCAGACTCATCCTCCGTCTTTTTCGTTTCCAGTATTCCCAAAATTTCAAACTTTGGAGCTAACAAATCATAAACGTCTCCTTTCATCCATTCCTCTGTTTTATATGTCTTCTGAACGTCTCGAATCTTCTGAACAATCGCTTCAACATATGCATTCTTAGCTTCTTCCGAAGTCATCGACTCCAATTTCTTCCACGCATTCCATTTATAAACTCCTTGAACATCAAAGAAACTTGGTTTTGGAACATCACATTTGCCATGTGTAGATTGTTTGAAAAGTCCGTAAAAGTTGAGTTTTTCATCGGTAGACGTTTTTACGGGACCTTGAAAATAATGGGTTACTGTAGCTTGAATTTAGAGTTTGAGTCTCTCGCGATTACCGCCACTTTTTGTGCACCTCTCGATTCTGTCCAAATAAACTGTAAAACAGTCAAATAACAAAATGCTCATCATACTTCAAAAAACCGTTTCATTTTTTACTAAATCAGTTTTTGTTAAATCTTAATTGCAGTAATTGAGCTTCTTGTAACTACAGAACCGTATCAATCATTTCTAAAACATACCATCTTTCGGCAAGTTTTGTACAATAAAAACTGCAGTTTCAAACACGGACATTGAGAAAAACTGGGACCGAAATTGATCAACAACGGAAAGAAGTAGAAAAATAATTCTGAAATAGTTTCGAGTCAACAGGAATTGGTTGATAAGCAATCAGTGGATGATAAAAAAAAACTTCTGACAGTGAAAAAAATAGATAATAAACGAACTAGAAACCAAAAAATGGTTTTGGAAAATGAAATCAATAGAATTGTGGATCTCAGTTTCGGATGCATGATAAGAAACAAATAAGGAAAGAAAATTATGGTTAAGAACAAGAAAGTAAACATAGCAATGTCGAAATGATAGATTAACTGATAAGAAACGGCGACAGTGTAGCCGTTCAAAGATTGGTGAAAAGAAAAGAAGAAAAATGGTAGGAAATGGCATCGAAGATGAATAGAAATTGAAAGTTCTAGAAAAGAAAAGTCTAATTAGTAAGAGGGGCTGATTTTGGTATCAATGGAAGGCTAGGTGATAGAAATTGATTAGTTCATCGAGAAACCGGGAATGCAGTTTTGATACTTTGACAAGTTTCATACTTCCGTTCTGCAGAGCGTTCGGTTCCACTTCTTCTGAAGGTTCTTATAATTCCGAAAGCCGGCTTCCTTATTCGAACGGTGCTTCTTAATTCCTGAGAATAAATACATTTCTGATTTTTCCTTTTCAGTGGCACAGGGAATATATTATCCAATTCCGGACATTTGTCTATTTTGAACTTCGAATTTTTTAATTGATTGAATCAATCTTTCTACGAAACATGAACCTCTTCTCAAATTTATGGAAATTTAACTGAATTTTTTTGACATTTTTCTTTCTTTTTCAGAAAATCCGATTCTTGTTTCTTTTTCTCGTGCAATTCTTTTCCTTCTTGTCTTTCTTCTTTTCTCTTTGTTGTTTACTTTTTCGCTGTCCGCAGTTGCGCGTCGAGCACGTGATTGTGTAAACACCGCATTGCTTACCGTAGTTTTAGTTTTTAGGACAACTCGAAATTCTTATTTTTCCTTATTGGACCCAAAATTCGCAGAAACTTCAATGCTTCTATAAATCATTATTATCCCTAATTTCCCCAAAATCTCGCCCGACCGGCACTACAACAAAAGGTATGTTAGTGATCACTATTATTGTTTCGAAAAATTCACGAGCATTTTTAGGATTTCGATAATTTCGTATTTAATTGAAAATAGCTCAAATTTTTCGAAACAACTTTGTTTTTTTGATATTTTCATTCGATTCAAAACACATATTTTTAGAAATGGCTGATGACTGGGGATGCAACGTAGATTTGTTCGAGGATTCGAGCAAAGCGAGCTCCAAGTCATTGACGGAACTTGTAGAAAGCTTAACAAAGAAGAACTTGGTTAGTAAAAACTTTATAGATAACAATTTGGAAAAAATGTGTTGTGTTTCAGAACGGAAATCGACAAACTATTCCGCCAACCCCAACAGAAACGGAAAATGTGAAGATTGTCGCCTTCAAACGTAATGGAGCTTCCAAAATTCCAATGGTTCATGCTCCAAAGATCCTGAAGAAAAAGAAGGCTAACGGTCATAACAACAATAACAACATGAAGGTTCTCAATGACGCTAACCCAAAGAGAGTTCATTTCGATGTAAGGCAGAAAAGGCGTTATATTCTTCGATTTTATTCAATGAATTTTCAGATTGAACAGTTTCTGTCACGAGAAGCAAGCAAAGGCGACCGAGTCGAGGCTCGTGAGCGAATGCTCGCTTCTTTGGGAGCTGCTCCGTCGAAGCGCGACTACGTCAACTACAAGGATCTGAAGATCGATCTTGCACAGAAAAAGGCCGAGGCAAAAGCTCAAGCTGAAATGAACCACGCCAACAGCCTTTCTATGTTCAATATCAAGAAGAAGAACAAAAAGAAGAAGTAGTTAACATCTGTTCTTGATTTTTATCGATTTTTGTTCCAATATTAATAACATCCGCCCCACCTTATACAGTTTTATCATATTCAATGCACGCTGGACGTGAAAACGCACTGCTGGCATCAGATCTTTACCCATTATTTCCTCTCATCTCTATTTAAGAAGAGTCAACCCCATTAGATTTTTTTGTGTCTTGTGATTTGATTTGCCTCCATTTCCATCCCCCATCCTTCGATAGACTGTACATCAACACCCCCACCCCCGCACCATCTCTGTTCGTTGTTTTCACGTGTTAATAAAGCTTAAAAACCCCAGCTCGCCAACTATGGAGGAGTACTGTCGTTGAAGTCGGCAATTTACTTGAACGTTCTAGACCAATTTGGTCCTCAGCTCCATTATTCATTGACCTCATTAGTCAATCGTTAAAAATTGCCTGAAAGTTCGGAAAGCTACAGAACTTGATTTTTTTTTTCAAATCAATAGCAGTAGATGTGCAACCGCTGCATACCAGCGATAGGAGGAATTTCCGCCCGGTTTTTAGAGATTTTTTTCCGTTTCCGTTTCCACGGAAAAAAAATCCCGTTTCGTTTCCGTAAAAGTAAAATTGTATTTCCGTTTTTCGGAAAAACCGCCATTTTTTACAGCGGAAACGGAAAAAAAAATTAAAAAACAAAGAAAACATTAAACTGAAACTGGCTTGAAAAAAGCATGGAAAGTCATGCAAATATGGTCTTTAAACGTTAAAAACTGTATATTTTTACGTTTGAAGGGAAAAACCCTGAAAAATAGACGAAAAATAAAAATTTCCGTTTCCGTTTTCCGCCCGATTTTTGAAGATTTTCCGTTTCCGCGGAAAAAAATTTACGTTCCCGTTTTTCGCGGAAAAAAATTTCCGCTTCCGTTTTCCGTATTTCGGAAAAATGCGTTTCCTCCCATCACTGCTGCATACTATAACATGTTAAGCCGCGCAGGTTCCGAGGAGACCATTTTTTGAATGGAAAGTGGGCGAAGCCTGAGTTACAAGCTGCACGGTTTCTCTCGTGAGTGTATGCAAATATGCAAAGAAAAACTCTGCGGCAAAACCGTACACAACTTGCAATTTCGGCTCCGCCCACTTTTCCCCGGAATTTCCGGGGTCTCCTCATTGATTCACTGACGACGAAACCGCGCCCCATTAGACAAAAAAACGCGACACCACGCGCGCACGTTTTGTCGTCAGTCATCTTGATGTTCTTGCTAGGTTTATAAATGAGGACAAGAAATATATTTCCTCATTTCTTTATCGTTGTTGCCTATCATTTCTTCAAATTTATTCTTTACAGAAAATGGGTCCGCATACACACAGTCGTTCTCCACCACGCACTCGAGGGGTAAGTTCAAATTTCACTATTTGCATCTATTTAACAACAGTATCGATTTAACACAATTACCACACTCTGAACTTTTTTCCATTCATTTGCTGCTGAAAACATATAAAAACTCTGATAATTCTACAGACTTGTATGAAAATGAAATGTATGAAGAAAGAAAGCATTGATATGAGGAGATGAAAGAAAATAGCTGTAAACTGATTTTGAATGCCGCCCAAAAAGAAGAATTAATGAAAGCGATGAAACCACGGAAAAGAAAAAAGAAAACGGAAGATAGGAAGAGAAACAGAAGTCATTTGGGGGAAGACTCATCATAAATCATTGCGAAATTCATCATAAAGCGTTGCAATTTGATGTTAAGAAGCACCCCCAGGATTTTGCCCAATTTTTCCAGGATTCCCGTGGGCGCTCCAGATCACCTTCAGCAGACTACCGGAGAGTACGCGATAGGTAGGATTACTAGCTTTCTATTCATATTAATACAGACGATTTTAGCTCTCGTTCTCGTTCGCCTCGTGGCCGCTATGGTGGCGGTGGTGGTGGTTATGGGGGTCGTGGCCGTGGTGGCGGTCGTGAGGGACAAGATCGTGAGAACCCACCTCCATCCAAATGTCTCGGTGTATTCAATCTTTCTTCGTACACAACTGAGAAGGACCTGCGTGATGTGTTCGGAGAATTCGGTGAAATCGAAAAATGCGACTTAGTCTATGACCGCCCATCAGGAAACTCGCGTGGATTCGGATTCATCTATTTCGAGCAGATTGACGATGCCGCTGCTGCAAGAGAAAAGCTTTGCAACACGGATCTCGATGGTCACAAGGTAAATTATCAATATGAGAATAAACAGATTTCAACACAAAAGCTTCGTTCAGATTCGCGTCGACTACTCATTCACCAAGCGTGGTCATTCTCCAACTCCAGGGCACTACATGGGAGATCGTCGTGATGGTGGAACCAGCGGTGGACGCGGCGGAAGAGATCGCTACAACGACAGAGGAAGTCGCGGTGGAGGTGATAGATATGGTGGCGATCGTTACGAATCGGCCCGTTCTGGGGGAGATCGTTACGGTGGCGGAGATCGATATGGAGGAGATCGCGGTGGTCGTAGAGGATCTCCAGAGAGAAGGTAATAAAGTTTAACGCTTTCTTCCTCAACGGGCGCCTTGAAGTTAAGTGACTTGAAGTAAATTTTATATATTTCAGACAAGGAGGAGGTGGAGGCTTCCGTAGTGGAGGTGGCGGCGGAGGCTACATGAGAAACGGAGGAGGTGGTGGAATGGACCGTCGAGACCATCGTGACAGTGACAGACAAATCGGTGGCGGCCATCGTCCATATGATCCCCAATTCAGACGCCGTGTCGAATCATATGGTTCAGGTGGCGGCGGCAGCGGAGGACAACGTCGCAATGACAGATATTAATTTATCAATATATCAATGATCTTCTCTCGACATCACTTGAAAATACCGAACATCCTGTACCTCTTAATAGTTAATCCTGTTTTTATTCAGAATAACTTCTTTTTTTCATCTCCCTATCATGCACATTCTGTTCATTTGGGCTTCCAAACGCCTCGTTTTTAAGAAAAGTTAAGTACATCTTATTTCTTTGTATTGGTTTTTGAACGAATTCCTATAATAAATTATAGAAAAAAGCTCGGATTCGCATTTCTTTATGTACGGTTTTTTCGACGAGGGTGGGGGAGTGTGAAATCAAAATTGTAAAGAGGTATTTTCATTACAGGATAGAGAAAGTCGGGTAGAGATAATTAGATAACACAAACAGAAAATATTATTTAAATGTATAATTATTGATCATCCAATCTCTCTGGGAACATCATATAAGGAACCCGCACACAGAAAGAATGGTAGTTTTGTTTTGAAGGAGTTTACCACGACGTCCACCTATAAATGAAAATTTTTGGACGCTATCAAATACAGCGCCTAGGAATTTAGGAGGGAATCTACAATACTGGGTGGTTGGGGGAGAATTGAGGGGGGAGGGGTAGGTCTAAACTACAGTAATTCTAAGAATGGAATCAAGTTACGGTAGGCCAGATGAGAATTACTGATAGAAAAAAAACAACGAATGAGGGGTTGTAAACAATAATAGATGAAGAGAGATTGTGTGGGAAAGTAAGAGACGCGAGAGAGAAGTGGCGACTGATTCAGTCAAAGTCTTTATCCTCGAGGAATTTGTACTCGAAAGTGAACGACTCCTTTTTGCGTTGAGACCATTTCTCGAAATCGAAATACACGTATGTGCCCTGCAATTGATATATAGGTCACGAAATCAATAAAAATTTACCGTACCTGTTCATAATCGTCAGTAATTTGTTTGGGTTCCTCATGTCTTTGGAACCAAGTCAAATACTTGGTGTGGAAACGCCACGACAGCTTTTTGAGAGCTTTCGCCGCAAGAAGCTGAGCACGAGTTCCTTCCATGTAGTAAAAAATGAAGAAGAGAGTATCTGGAGCCAGGCGAAGATAGTACTCAAGACTGTCCGCTGTACTTGGTGCAGTCTAAATAAAGTTTGAAATTATTTTTCAAATAAAGTTTTTGTATTGCTCACCTGCCCGTACCAACTTGGCACTGGGAACGACATCTTCGTCAAATAGTTTCTCGGTTTTTCACTATCCAACGGGAACGTCGCCTTGTCACAAGCCAATTCCAACGCAGCCAACTGCAGGTCAAATTCCTTCGTCATCGATGTTCGTCCGAGTGGCGATGCGCCCAGCCACGCAGGAATGTGAGCACGTTTGGGCCCGCTAGCGGTTGGTTGTTGGGGAGCGGCCATGTTGAGTGCAGCTTGCAGTGCTGGATCGTCAGAAGACATTCCACCCAACATGGACGATGCAGTTGTAGGAATGGCGGACTGCGGCGGCTGCTGCTGCTGTGGCGTCGACCGGGCCACACTCGTTGCCTCCCCTGAGAAAAATATTGGTCAAAAGTGTTGAGAAGATAACATTTTTAGACCTTTCAAGATCAGTTTACATTATTATGCTGATATGCAAAAAGAGAAGCTGTGGAAGAGAAAATAATGTGGCCACGACCGAGCTACCGTAATCAACAAAATTTTCGTCAGTTTCACGATAATTTTTTAGATTTAGAAAAATTTCATCTTACGACTTGTTCGGAGTTTTTCAACACAAATATTGACGAAAAGCAATAGAGAAAAAAAGGACGAAGAATTTCCACAGCTCCAATATTCGCATACCAGCATAACACACTACTTCATACGAACGATAAAATTGATGAATTTAGAAAATCAGCGCACACAGAATTGGAAATGAGAAGTCCTACTTTCCCTTTGAAATGGAATCTTCAAGGAGTAGCAGGGAAATGAAGGAAGAAAGAAGAAATAGGACAGCTGTTCTTTTAAACGGGGCGCAGATCCGTATAAACGATCGAAGCCGATTCGAGGTTTCCCAAATGAATCAGAAACTAGGAATCTAGTTAATTATATAGATGTTAGGATACAGTAATTAGCAGGAGAAATTATTTTTAGAAGAAAGATTTTAGTGGTAGAAGTATTCAATTTTTGTGCTTTCTCGACTTTTTAGAAATTCAACCAACTTCTCACTGACCTTGTTTTTCATAAATCATGGGAATACCGTAATATCTGTAATAGAAGAGCCCCCACAGTCAACTTTCAGATAATTTATCTCGTTTCCTATGCGAGATGTCAGAAATCTGTCAACTGAAGAAATAATCCTAATGATTAAAATAACAGTCAATTGACAACTTTTTTATAACTTCGACAGGAACCAAGATAAATCGAATCAAAGTTCAATGCTAGGGGGGCCGTCTATTGCTAGGGGCCCGCCTTACGGTGTCTTTTCAAGTACCAAAAACTACGAAAACGAACTGGACTAACAAACTGGATGAGGGTATAGTTTTGGCGCGGCGCCATGACACTCTATAGAAGCAAGGAATTAGAGAGGTAGAGAAAAAAAGCAAAGCGAACGAGGCATTAAAAAAAATCAAACAAAGTGCTACCACCACACGAGGAAGTGAGTAACAGACAAACAGACAAATCAATACATATTGATAAGAAAACGATGAGCACATGGGGTGAGAAGAAGAAGAAGCCAAGACACTGTTTGAAGTTTATCTGACAATTTTTTTTTTCAGAAAAAAAAGCAGTTGAGCCTAGGGACCCAGAGGCACAAAGGTCAGAGTGACGCAATCTCTTGAGGAATGCAGCAGTGTGTTCTCTTGCTCTCTTTTCCTCATTCATTTCCTGCCTGCAGAATGCTTATTTGCAGCCAATTTTACGAAACCTGGAGTCTATCAAAACAGGCAAAAAACACTGTGATGAGGTTGCGAAATATATATTTGCTTCTCATTATGCTGAACGTGGGCTCCGCGTCCGGCTCACTGGCTTTACGGCTAGTGGGCGGCGACGGGTCTCAACCCCTAAAACTGACGTCACAGCTATTTAAGGAATACATTTCGAGAAAGTTTTCAGGGTGTATGTGACGGCACCGAAAAAAAAACTATGGTGACCACAAGAGGGCGGAAAGTAAAATGAGGAGAAAGGGATGATGAGAAGAAGAGGAAGAAGATACAAGAAAAAAAGGGAAAACCAGGTCAACAGCGAGAAAAAAACGAACTCGACCGACTAACACATTGCGTTCTCCGATCTTTTGTGTCTATGAAGGAAGAAGACATGAAAACACATGTGACATGGTAGAAATAAAGAAAACGAACGAATAACGCGTTTCTCATTTCTCCTTACACACCATAATGAGACTGAAACTGCCATTTCAAAGGATGGTAGAAAAAGAGAAAAACAGTTTTATTGTAACACTGGAAGAATACTTCACTTCCTAGTACTAACCAAACGCGTTCTTTTACGTTCCTAAGCTGTCAGAATATATTCGAAAACATAATGACATTTGGAATCTAGGTCATGGGAGAGCTTTCCTAATTTAGTCCCACATTAAACCGATCTTATCCCCACTTGCACCTGTGGCAAGTAATTATTCTTCGTCTCTCTCCGCTGCTAACCAATTACGTAGAAATTGAAAACAGCTGCTTATGGAACGAGCGCTGTTCTTCAGAAAAATTCTAAAAGATGGGAGGGGAGCGGCGCGGATGAGAAACCCAGAAAATGGGGGAAAAGGACAGACGAACTGAGTGAGAATGAAAAAAAAAGAAGAAGGAAGAAGAAGATAAATAGCTCCTCGAAGAGAATGAAGAGACGGAAGGTCCTTATTTTGGGGGCTTTCCCGCCTTTTTCTACTATAATCATTATAATCGTTCCCATTTTTCCGACAAAAACATAGACTGTTGAAGGTGAAGAGACGCATAAACATTCGAATGCTCCCTTGTGGACGCGCCCACTCCAAAAAATGATGACTATTCAAGAAAACCTATGATCTACAAGTGTAGATCATAAATTAGTTCGTAAGTAAGTCTGAACTCATTCATCGAATTCTACTTCAAGTCGACTACGAGCTATAACTCCCAAAAATTCGGCTCAATGTCTATTCATTAGGTCATGATTGTTTAAGTAATAGAGTTGGTTCACAGGCAATAGAGTTGGTTCAAAAAATTAATGTTGCTAATTTTGGGTATCTCTTTCCTACTCTTTCTATCTTTTGTTAATAAGAAATGTATGCTATTATCCTTGTCTGAGAAAAAAAAAAGGTTGAGACGCAGAGAAAAAGTGTCTGTGTCTCCACCTTATGTGTGCTATTTAGGCTCTCCGCTTCGATATCGCTACCGTATTCAGACTGCAAAAAATACTCTCTAACCTTTTTTTTCTCAGACAAGCATAATATTTGTAAAAGGGAATGAGTCATGTCGGAGCTAGGGACCGTTGTACACACTTTTTGACATCTCTAGTTTTTGTAACATCGCCACACATAGAAAAGTTTGTATGTTTTTTTTCTACACCTACCATTGGTACTCTCAGCCTTCGTTGTGACATTCGTAGATGGCTGATTCACAGACTCCGGCGGCTCAGAAGCTGTCGAAGGTGGCGCTGCAATCGATCCACGAGACGTCGTTGAAGCAATGCTGTCCTTCTTTTGTGGAACCTAAAAAAGCGATAGCTAAATGGTGCACTAGATGAACATGAAAATAAAACCACGACACATTCTAACTACTGTAATTCACAAACCGTATACAAATAGTTTCCCATAGCCACTAGTCTAGTTGAGATAATATGAGAGTTCTTGGATGCCTCTCCTTTCCGTATAGCAGAAAGAAAGACTACAACAGTGGGTCAGAGAACTACAATTCCTTCCATTCCCCCTATCAAGCAAAAAGGTTGACGTCTTAGTGTCTCACAACGGCAGCTCACAGAGGAAGAGAGGAGTGCTGTCATAAATCTGTCGTCTACGATTCCTTTTCCGAATTGGGAGCTTCGTTGCCTACTCTTCTCCTCCTCACTCTTGTTGCTTGGTACCCCGCCATTTCAACTCTCTCGTTAGCTTTCCAATTTTCTACTTTTACGAAACTGAGCTTTCTTTTCTGAAGGTTTGCTTTTCTAGCTTTATCGGTTCTGACAAATCCACTTGCACAGAACTTTTGTAACAGAATTCAATGCGTTCTCTCTTAACTTGATTGTTTTCTATTGATTCAAGTTTTTGTTGTAAACTAGCATCCAGCGGCCGGCTGAGATGATTCAACACCATGCTTTTAATTTCTACAAACTATGTTTCACACGATTCATGCTTTCTATCTATCTAGCTAGCAATATAGATCTATCTAGCACAAAACACTGCCACAACGGTATGATCACCTCTTCCCCAGAAGAATTCATGTGTTGTTCTTTCTTTTCTTCAGAAGCTAATAACAGAGCAGAATCAGTAGAAGACGAAGACTTTTCTATTACTGCCAGAGGTGCCGGCGGCGAAGAATCTCCCGAAACCTTCTCTGTCGCAACAGGAGCCACGTCCTGTTTGACACATTCTTCCTCCTGTTTACGGTATTTAGGTTAGCTTATATCAATGAGTATAGTGTTTACAGTAGTAACTTTTGTACCGGAATTTCATTTAAGCCTGAAAATAACAAACCTCGTTCGTAGAATTCGTGATAGCTGACGACAAGGGAACCGATTTTCCTGTAATAATTGGAGATGGAGCGGACGGTGTCGGCACATTGGCTGACACGGGCGTCGAAGGAACTGGAGTAGTTGTACTTCGTCCCGCTGCAACCGAGTTATACGGTATTCCTGGCGGCGGTGGAGCTGTAGAAGCTGAAAAGGAAATCGGAGGTTCACTGAATCTATCATTTGCCAAGCCGTACCTGGCGTGACAGGCGGCGTCTTTGGCCGATCGACGTTCGAATCTTTGCTCGCCAATCTCTTGAGTTCGGGTGTTGCAGCATGCGGAGAAGGCATTGAAAGTGGTGCAACTCGTCGGCCAGCTGGGCTTGGTGGCTGCCCGTTCTCACCACTTGTATGACGAGAAGCAGAGATACCTCCAGATTCAGATGTGTCGATGCCCAATTCATGTCCATTACTGTGATCCTCATCCACAGAAAGCATATTAACACCTCCGATTTGTTGGCAGAGTTTCTCCAAATTGAGATCATCGTAAGCGTCATCCGGATCGTAGTTGTCAGCCTCTTCCGAGTCCTCTTCATTCATCATTTCCACATAGGCTTCGATCGCTTCTTTCAATGTGTCGTATACTTTTTTGGCACTCAAACTCTCGTTACTAACCATTCGCATGCAAATCTGAAAACAAGCTGATTTCATATTTGTTCAAGAAAAAACAATGATTACCTCTAATTTTTCAATATGAAAGTTTATTCGTTCCAAATGGTGCTTTAGACTTTCGACTCGCTTTTCTCTCTCGTTTTTCGCTCGTGCGTCTTCCTTCTTCCCGCGTTTTCCTTTTCCGACATCAGCGGTAGCCAGGGACTCCAACTGCATTTCTGTTCGATCCACTTCTTCGTTCAAGGAGCGAATCTGATGTTGAATCCAGTCCATCGTGTCTGACTTTTCCTTTTCTTTTGGATCAAGCTTTTCCTCGGCAGAAAGTCCCTGAAAATTGACTGATACGATTTCATTACTTTAGGGCATGATATATCTCAATAGAAAATGAAGAATATCGGCTGCTCTTTCAGTTCACATACTGTGCAACTTTTTGTGTCGTATTTAAGCTTATTTTTTTCAAAAGTATATATTTTAGAAGAATTGCACGAGCTGAAACAGCTTCCAAAACAGCTTCCAGATCGGATCATTTTTCACACTAGTTCGAGTGGTTGTATTTTTCCGTACCAGTTTACTATGTGGTTTCGTCTTGTTCTCTCTTTCTACATCTTTGAATTGCTCCATTCGCTGCTCAATGAGCTTCCTGTACGAATTCAGCTTTTCCTTGTCCTGAATTAATAAACAATTTATAAATCATCAACATCTCGATATCGACATACCTTGATTTCGCTAGCATTCTGCCAATTTTTCACTTGATCTCTGAGCCTCTGAAGCTTTTTGATTTCTTTTTTCAAATCATCTTGATACTTGTCTCGCTGATTATCACTGTTAGCCTCATGCATTTTTTCCATTGTTTCTTCGAAAAGCTCGACGCCTTCGTCGATCTGAATTATAACATTTATTTATCAGCCATCATTTCTTCTCAAATCACCTTTTTGAAACATTTTTCAATTTCGGCTAACAGTTTTCGTTTTTCAGCCATGCTCTGTAAAACGATTATTATAGGCTTTCAGGGAGAAGAAATTAGTCGTAAAAAGGAAAAAAAACAACTTTTCAATCATAAGACTTTTTCAATTTATATTTATGGCTCAGTTACTCGCAGATTGCAAAAGTCGCCAGAAGTAAGTTTAAATCGAGAAAAGACTGCGAGAGAGAGCCATATAAACGCAGAGAAAAAGAGATGCAAAGCAAGCGACTTCATCCCCGCTTTCTCAGTTCTAGAAGAATACTTATTGATTAAACGTCGAATAACAGTGATAACTATGTGAGAAACCGAATTTTCAAAGAGAAATAGTTGGGAAATTTCAAAGAAGAGGAATAATTGTAGTTATTCAAGCAAAACTGAACAGGGTCAACTTCCGCCTCATCGAACTATTGATCCTGAGGCTGCTTATTGTTAAACTTTTAAATTTTTTCATCTGAACACATATATTGATGGTAAAATAACAAAAGACGAAAAGTACGAGAACTTTGCAAGCATGTGTTCGCCTAAAATGTTCACAAAACTTTTAAGAAGTAATTATTGCGGCCAGTGTATTTCTCGCCATCTGTGGACATTCCGTTGGTCGATAATGACTTTTTTATAATTACTATCATTCAAAAAGTATGCTTCCGGATGGTTGCAGTTTTGAAAATCGGATTATCCGCTGGAATCAAAAACAGCGAAAATCATCTGACGAGGTACGGTCGACGATCGCCATTGAGCAACTGGTGCATAACCAGTGTTTGCGTACTCGCGTACCGTAGTTTCGCTGAAAATAACCGGAATTGAGCCATTTTGGATAAAACTTTTGAAAAAAAAGCTGATTGTGTGAGTAATGCCTGTATTCTCTCTCAACGTCAATGTTTCTTTATCTGATGAGAAGAAAACATCCCTTTTGAAAGAGTTATCTGACGTTATCGGAAAACTACTCGCAAAGCCGGAAAAGGTTTGAAATATAATTTCCCTTGAAGTCAAATTGTAGTTTTTTTCAGTATATGTGCATTCATATTAATACCGATCAGGCAATTTCATTCGCTGGGACTACGCAACCAGCTGGATTCGCTGTTCTGAAATCGATCGGCGGTGTTGGAACCGCAAAACAGAACAATGCGATTTCCGATAAAGTCTACCCGATCATCACCCAGCATGTAGGAATTCCAGGTGATCGGTATGAAACAAATTTTTAAAAGTTTTTTTCTAATTTTTGGTTTTCAGCCTTTACATCGAATTCGTCAGTCTTGGCGCAGCAGACATCGCTTTCGAAGGTCACACATTTGCTTGAATGTTTCGATCCAATTTGTATTTATTCCTATATTTCTTTGTGCATATTTTTATTTAAGACACCAAAAAATTTATTAGATCGAGATGTTTCAACATGGAAAGTTTCATGATACAGATAATGCACTACAATGCCAACAAAATGTACCAGGCTGGAAAAGAAACAAATTGATAGAGAAAATTGAAGTTAAAGGAGTGAATTTCAGAAGAGTATTTTAGATTAGGAACCCGGGCTAGAGAAACAAAGTGGGAAATTTTGGTATTTTGTAGTAGAAGTTTTAAAAAAGGAGATTATCACATGATTCAAAGAGCAAACAAAAATGTCGTAAAATCTCAAATAGGAGTTTTGAAGGATTTTACGGTAGTAAACATTTCTCGAGGATTCAAGACAGCGGCTATGATAGATCAGGAACGAAGTACAAACACGTAATCTGCATTAAAAAGATAATAGTATCTGATGAGACTAGTTTATGACTAATTTAATGAAACCGATTAGAACGTTGAGAATGAGGACAGCAGTTCCGAAGGTGAGAACGATATATTGGATGAGCTCACGGCGTCTGGAAAGTACAGATAGTTCGATTTTCGGTTAGAAAACGCTCACTTCACACTGAATCCAGAACTTTTCAGCAATGTGCGGACTATGAATTGTCCATCTAATCCATACACAGGCATTGCATTGAATAGACCAAGAGCCAGGGAAAGTGTGAACATATACTTGACAGCCAGCTCGAAATGTTCCAACCATGAAATCTGGACGAATGAGAAGCGAGGAGTCCATGGGGAAATTGAAACCATCTGGAGCATCTGAAACAAAACGGGCGATTATGTAAAAATGTAACTGAGACTGACCTCATTGAGTTGTCCCACGAAAAGAATTGGTTTGGCTCGATTACCCAACTCGATTTTCACAAGACGAGTTCCATTATGAAGCGCTGGATATACGCAGACTTTCTCTCGATCAGCTTCTTCTTTTTTGCACGGTTCGCTCACATTGCAAACGGCTTGCTCGACGACGTGCCTTGCATGCAGACAACTGTATTTCGTTATTGTTTTATCCTCGACCTGCCCCGTTCCTGCCGCCCCATATGGAGTATCATCATGTCCTTCTAATCCAAGAAGAGCATTCAGTTGAGGCGCTCTTGTTTGAGTTTCTACTCCCTTCGGGACCTTCTCTTCTCTTTCGAAACATACATGTGCAGTAGTTACATTGAATTCGTCACAACAAAGAATCTCGTCAGCTTCTGTTCGATGATTGAATGCGGTTGCTGCTTCGACAGCTTCTTTATCCACACATCGACCGTTATGCATATTCTTCGAAGCTCGGATGCACCTCCACCAATCGGCCACAGTTTCCACATCGCATTCGTCGATACTTTTGACGATGTTACCAGAAACTAGACCAGTTTTCGGATTTGAAAGCCCAGACCTCGCATCGATCGCTTTGACAGACACTCCATTTCCTTGGGTTAGAATTGGAGAAAGAATAATAGGAGTTAAATGGAACACTGTCAATGCAAGAAGGGCAAGAAGAAGATTATGCCATATTCCAGCTCCAAATATTTGAAGACGTCGAAATGCCGACGCTCTTTTCAGTGTCACTGGCTCGATGTCTGTGAATGCCCCTGGGTAAACGGCGAGAATGAAAATGCCAAATCCATTGACAGTCACTCCGTTGGAAATTGCAGCCCATGCGTGTCCCAACTGAAAGTTTTAGGTTTGAACTTGGTTTCTTATCATTAATTTTTATTTACCTCATGGAAAACAGCAGCAACTACAAGAACAGTCATGAAAATTGGAATATGACTCCATGGAAGATTGAATCCTGGAATTATAGGAACCAGCCCGCGTGAGGATGACTTCTGGCCATCTTCTATCATATCGTATTCCGCACTCTCCACGATAACAGGATTTTGCATCTGCTCGGTGGTCTAAAAGAAATATTGGCTTGTTAGGAAACATTTTTTTCCTCTTATACTACCGTTTTAACTTCTCGAGGTGATATAGAGGTTAGGACTTCGTGCATTGAACGATACTCCATTCCTCGATATGCTTGAGTTTTTGGCCTTGTAGTGGTCACCCATTGTCCAACGTCTTTCAACAGCAGATGAGACATATATGCAGTCATTCCAAGAAGGCAGATAATAGAAGCAAGGACACCGCAAGCAAACCATACTCGAACCAGTAAATTGCGACATTTTGATCTTCTAGATTCTTCGAAAAATAAATCGGAACCACTCTTCTTCTCATCGTCTAGAATATCGGCCTTTTCATTTAAAAGAATATTCTCTTTTGGTGGGGATGTTACGTAGAATCGAAGTTGAAAGGGCGAAACTTCAATTCCATATCTATGACACAGATGAAGATATGGCTCAAATTGTGCGACACGGAGCACATAATCGATCAGGAATATTGCACTCCATGCGATTAGAAAGATCGCGATCGCACTAGTGGCCAGCATATAGCGTTCTGCAAAAATCTTTGCTTTGAAATAAGATCCATGGAATTTAAATGACTCACACTCAAGTTCTCCTCCCCTTCACTTTAATCGCATTCTCCGTTTTCTGTTTTTTTCTGTGAACTGAATAAATAAGTTTAGAATATTTCAGTTTATATAATACAAGTTGAAAGTAGGTTGCAAGGAATTGGACCTTTTAAGAATACGATAAATGATTTAAACATTCACATTCATAATAGTTTATTCGAGCGAGATTTGAAATTAGAGAACAGGAATGGCAGCTAGTGACCCGGAGGTGTAAAGAATCGTCATATATTAAAATGATAGAGTTAAAAAAATCAACTAATTAAACTTTTTTCAATTGTTTCTTCAGCAGAGCGACTCGTTGCTTATGAGCCTCTGTTGGCAAATGCTTTTCCTTTGAGAGGTCTATAACTTCATTTGGATTCCCGAAGATGTGGGTGGCAGCGCGGGGAACCTGAGAATGAAATCTGATTGGTATGAACATTTCATATTATAAACGCACCACCGGCATGTTATAAATGTTTTTGAGGATGAACTCGATATCGCGAGATTCTATTTTCTTCATATCCCGGTTCTTGATCATCTTGCAAGCTTTATCGACCAAAGCGCTGACAAAATCATCCGCATATTCGACAAGAGTATCTTTCACACTTTCCTCCAAAACCGTTGTCTGACTAATTTGTTGCATCAAGTCGTCGAGTCTTGACTGAAACTATTTTATTTTTCGTTTAATTCGATTGATAATACTGTTTTACCTTATCCATTATAGCTCCACAAACGACACCTCCTGGATGTTGTTGCTGTTGCGAATGGGATTGTTGAGCTTGTGGAGGAGGTGGAAGAGGCTGTTGTATTTGCCGGGGAGCTTGTGGCTGCATTTGCTGCTGAGATAGTACTTCTTGCTGTTGTTGCTGTTGAATCGGCATCATTTGAGGAGGCGGCATTGGGGAGCTTGCCTGAAAAGAAAATCATCAGGGGTGTTTTCAAAAATTGTATACCTAGTGTTCCGGGGCCTTTTCATAGAAATAAAAATCACAAATAAAAACAATGTTAAAGTTTCTAGCAGGAAGAAAAGTTCAGACTACTGAAAAGGAAAAACTTCAATCGAAAATAGATCATATTTTGAAAGATCCACAATTGGCGCTATTATATTCTAGCAAGTCTAAATTACTACTGTAGTAAACAATGAAGATTTCAGAATGAGAAAAAGAAACACTTACCATAAAATGCTGCGGCGGTTGAATTCCGTGCTGTGGTGGTCCACTGACCATCCCCATTGGCACTGGCTGAAATAATTAGAACATTATTACCAGAAGCCTCTTCAACAACATTATACCCCAGACATTCCCATTGGCATTTGGCCCCCTTGATTTGGCTGTTGCATTGGACGTTGTCCCATCTGAATTGGTTGCCCACTTGGAGTGAACTGTTGTTGTTGCGGTGGCATTCCCATCGGAGAAAAGTGCTGAGGAGGTCCTTGGCCGCGCATTTGAGGTGGTGGGTAGGGCATTTGGCGCACTGAAAGCATGAATTCGCATTATTTTCAGATATATCTTTTAAGCCTCACTCGGTTGCTGCATCTGCATTCTCATCGGTCCACCCATTCCACCCATTTGTGGTGGCGAAACGAACTGTTGCTCATTCGGATTCTGGTGGTTCTGAGGCGGTGGACCCTGTTGCATTGGCTGAAAATGCGGATAGAACATAGGGTAGCCATGAGGGAACGACCACATAGTTTAGTAATATTTAGTGAGTACAGTGAGACGGGTGACGAATTGAAGCTTTTGTGATGGGAAGGGAGAAGAGAGAAAAGGGCACAATCGATATTGGAATAATACACATATAGCAATGTTACGGAAAGAGAACGAAGAGACGAAGGGCTGCTGCTTCCCGGCTTTTATTATATTTATATTTTTTCGGGCGAGTGGTCGGACACATTCACTTTTGGTGAACTAAGGTACACATTGAAGCAAAAATGAGTCATTTAGTTAGACGAACGTAGAAACACTGCTTAAAAATTATTAGGTGAGTTTCATCAGCGCTTCTTTTTATTTGTTTTTTCGAAAACAAGCTTGTTTTATAGTGAACACGAGCTTACGGTATTTACGGAGAGAGCCGCCGCAATTTGCGGGTTGGCTTGAACTATAATATGATTATTCGGTGATGGTGGTAGAGAGCAATCTTCCATAATTTCAAAATATCTGAAAATTTTATGTTTCGCAAAAAACTATCCGAGCTTCATCTGAATTTAGCTGAATAGAAATAGCTGGCCTCAGTTAACTTAATATAAGATTCAATTAATATCGATTAAATTATCATTAAAATATAATAAAGAAATTAATAGGTACATAAAGGAATTAATAGGTACATTAAAGACTTCAGGAACATTGGTTTTCCGAAAAATTCTCAAAATTCGCAAAAATAAATCGAAAAGCTGTACAGTAACCGGGAAATACTAAATTCGTTGTGGACATAAATTAGAAATTGCGCTGTGTTCCTTTAAAAAAGTACTGTAGGGAATAGTGAAAATACTTCAAATTTTCAAATTTACACAAGAAAAAATGCAAACTTTTCACTTTAATCGACGTAAGAAAATATTTAAGTTTTCTATAAGAACAAAGTTGGTGAAAATGCGTAGTACAACCTCTCCAATCAAAAAAATTAACATAATAAACAGTAAATATCGTAATATTTCGAAAATTATAATTCATTCGAATCAGATGGCATCTACGCCGTTGAAAACAATCAATATCTTGAAACCAATATTTTTCTAATCTAATTTGTATTATGTCGAAATCAAAATTATATGCGTAAAATTAGGAGATTCTAAATATATTCAGAAAGATGGAAAAACGATCCGAGAAATGTAGGACATTGAGATTTGATGAGAGACGTAGGGAAAGAGAAATTGAGGCCAATGAGTGGGAGAGAGAGGACACTTTTTCACTCTGCCTCTTTTCCTTCTCTTCTGGGAAAACAAATGAGCGTGGACGTGGGAATACTAGGCCAGCAGGGAGAGAGACAGCGGTTGGTTGGTTTCTCATGGTAAACTGCAAACAAGTGATAGGACGGTCTTATAAAAATAAACATGTCACAATCTTTTAACGGCCCTCTGACTTCCCTTTTTTGACAGTTTGTTTCCAGTTTTATCATATCGCAACAACGATCGAAACTAGTTTTGAATTTTAACAGATGGGACAGTATACTGTGGGAATTACAGTGATGGGTGCTGTAAGAAAAACGAAAAACAATGTCAATACAAAAGGAGTATTTATCAGCTGTTCAAACACATGATACGTTTCCTGTCTTGATAACAAAAAGTCTTTTAAAACTTTTTAAAAACCAGTTGATTGGAGAATAGTAGTACATATATTCCAGTGAATTGAATAACCGTAGTAACAGTTTTTTAATGGTTCATATCTGATTCACATTTAGAAAACACTTTGGTTTATCCTGAAGTCGGCTCTGGGACATATAAATCTTAGGCTTTTTAAATATGTTTTTTTTCTGTTTGAACACATTCTGAAATTCATAGAATTCCAAATTTAAATTTTTTACAAATTTAAATCTTTAAAAAAATGTTTTTTGGATTTTTTCAATAAAATATTTTTTTACTTTCTTAGATTCTATCCGAAAAGGCATATTTGAAAACGCTAAAATTGTTTTGTAGTCCGAAAATTCTCAATTTCAGAGTTATCGAATAAGTTTTTTTCCGAAAAATTCCAAATTTTAAGTTTTTTTTCCGAAAAAAATTATTTTTTAAATTTTTTCTAATTTCAGAATGTGACAGGATCAATGATATTGGAACATTTTGAAAATTTATGTTACTTTGAGATCTCAATAATAATCAATTTTGAAAATGATTTCCAATAGTTTACTCAATAAGAAGATATAAAAAAAACAATATGGGATGGATAAAATAGGTTGACAACGAAATAATTATAACCAGTTTGATTCATTTTTCATATGTTTTTAATTAAGCAGATTGAGCTGCACGAGCGGCACGTAACCTTCCAGCTTCCCGGATTTCACTCATCAATGAATCCCTCAAATCTGGATTTTTAGATGCAATCGGTTGAAGAGCCGGCGAGGCAAGAACAGGTTGGGGCGGAGGCGGAGGAGGTGGAGGAGTTGATGTTGGATGATTTGATGATGGCTCAGTGTCCACGACCTTTCCAAGAGAGATTCCTGATCTTTCTACTGGCATTCCCACTTTTCGAAGTTTAGGTCCTTTCAGCACATCAGATATATCGAAAGTCTCTCCTTGAGCAGAGGTTTGTTTTGGAAGCTTTGGCGCGATAGGAACTTTGTCAGGGATTACTGTAGGGATAGTTTTTGGATAATGTGGCGATGTGGCAGATATGGTTGTGGGTTTTGGTGAAGTGGCGGAGAGTATTCCAGCGGTAGGCATACTTCTTCTGTTAGCCGATGGAGATGGTACGGCATTTTCAGTGGATAAAGATCTTAATGTCGGTGGTTGAGGAGAGGAAGTGGTCACTGGAGCCGAGATTTTGCGATAACTCGATGGAGAAAGAGCTCCTGATTTGATTGTGGTCTGATCGGTAGACATTGCACGAGTCATTGGAGACAATTTAGATGGAGATGGAGATTTCTTTTGGGTTAATGGTACCGTGGCAATGTTAATTGTAGTTTTCGAGGCATAACCATAGTTAGACTGATCTTCTGAAACCGTTCGATTCGTTCGATTAGCATCCACTTCTTTGGTCATTTTTCGATAATTGACTGGAGATGATACCACTTTCTGTTCGGCTTGCGGAATCGTAATCCTTGTTGAGTATCCAAATCCATTTTGATCTACCGAAGCTCCTCTTGTCATTGGTGGATTTTTACGAGTAGGAATAGAAGAGGAAGAAGAAGTAGAAGACGTGGCAGTAATCATTCCTCCAGGGGAACTATTTCCATTTGTCATTTGAGGATGGAATTGTGGTCTCTCGTATTTCTTCTCTTCTTTTACAGGAACGGATGTATACATTTTGGCTAGAGAATTCGATTGAGGTGGATCTGGATTCTTCCTTAGAAGTTTTGGAGATGATGCGAATTCAGGTGCAGTATACGGTGTCTGAGCAATCTTCTGGATCGTTGGAGAAACTACAGGAGCACTTGGAGCCGCTACTTTCTTGGATGCTCCATTCATTTGAAGTCTCACATATCCATTTGAAGGAACAGTTGGCATTCGAGGAGAAGAACAAGTATGTTGTTCCTTCCGATATTCAGAAAGTTTTGGGGGAGGTGTATTTGGGATGGGCGGAGCTTTTTCTTCAATTTCTTCGTAAATATCTTCAGGATCGATTGGAAGTCCTGGAGATTTCATTGGCTTGTATTCAACCATCCGAGGTTTTGATTTAGTTGGAGATTGTGGAGGTGGTGGTGGAAGGAACTCCTTTCTTTTTGGCTCTGGACTCTTTACTTGAACTTCCAACGTCTTTGGATTGCGGTACTGTTTGACTTCTTTTTCTCGCTGGCGTTGTTCTTCAACTTCCCGACGTAACCGATCAACAGCTTCTGTATTCTGGACGGCACCAACTGAAATCTTCTGCTTTGCAGCAACAACTACTTCATTTCGATTTTCATCCGTTTTGGGAGATGTTCCATTTTGAGATGGTTTAGGCACTTTTTGGTACACAGTACCACCAGGAACCACACCAACACGTGCAGGTGGTGAAGGACTAGTCACTGGTGGAGCGTAGAAGTTTCCGTATTGAGGAATCTTCAAAGGAGCTTGCTTTTTGACACCGTTGCTAGTGTTATTGTTACTGTTCTTGATATTATAGTTGTTCGAAACAGGTTTTGGTCGATCTGAAATGAATTCAAATCGAATTAGGCAAACATTTGTAATTCAAGTACCTGATGTAATCTGTTTCTCAAGTAACTTCTTCAACTTTTCATGATCCTTCAACATCTCTGCCTGAAAAATTTCATAGATTTTTTTGAAGATATATATTTCATACCTTAATTTTTTCCTCTTTAAACGATCCTCCATCTTCTAATCTCACTTGATTCCATTCCTCAAACTTATTCTGTAATTTCTTCAACATCTCCTCGTAATCCACTTCATTTTCTTGTTGTTTCCGATGAGGCGGAGGTGGTGGAGGAGAAGACGTTGCAGTCGAATAGATGGAATTTGTGGATGTTTGTCGGAAGTGTTCTCGTTTTGTAGCAGGAGATGGAGATGGAGCTACTGATGACGTCATCGGAGGAATAGAAGCCGTTGGAGGAGGAGGTGGAGGAGCCGCTCGCTTTGATCGAGGTTTTTGAACAATTGGGGATTCGTCATACTGACTGACTGGGGTAGAAATTACCCTGAAAACCAAAAATTTGAAAATCTCACAATCAGAGCTCAGGTAAATCTCTAACCTACCGGGAAACCTGTAATAGAAGGGCTTCTAAATTTGAGCTAATTATCTCACAAGGGAACCATGTTTAGCCTTCATCTCAGAATTTTTTCTAAATTTGCTCATTTATAGTTTCGAATACGGGCTTTCTCATGGTGTATTTGGTTTTCTGCACAAATTTCTAGAAGTCGAGAAAATTCCATCTGCAAATATGCTGTTTTTTTGCTCTCCTCCTTCCCTTCCACCGAAAATCAAAATTATGTTTCATCTATTATTTGAGGAAAAACCTCAAAAAAGCAATATATTTTGAGAGAAAAATTCATTTTGGACTTGTTTCGAAAACCTTATCTACTCAAAATGTCACTCGAAAACCCCCGATTCAAACATATTTAGCGCGGAACAGTGATAAATCCGTCAAGAAGTATGTAAATCTATGTTTTCACAAGATTTGAGTGCTATTGGGTGATTTTCGAAGGATTACGATTCTTACAAGTTTCGGAAGAAATCACTTATTTAAGATTTCAAAACGGATATAGGCTACAGAATTTTGTGAAAAGACCCATTTTATCATTTCTATGCGTTTAGAAATCATTTTAGCACATTAAAAAAAAATTTCGAAAAATTGTAAAATTTTGCAAAGGTACCCATGGCAAAATTAAAAAAAAATTTTTTTTGAACAATAAGAAAACTTTGCCAGATTGTAGAGAAACTTCTAAAATTCTGTCTGACACTCAAAAAATTCCGAAAAGCTCTCATTAACCTTTTCAAAAACTCACTACAAAAGTAAGAAGTTAGTACTGAAATCACTTAAAAAGCCCATAACTCGACTTCTAGAAATGTGTGCAGAAAACGAAATACACCACGAGAAAGCCCGTATTCGAAACTATGAATGAGCAAATTTAGAAAAAATTCTGAGATGAAGGCTAAACATGGTTCCCTTGTACTATAGTTCCTCTAATAGAAGACCACTCAACTTTCAGCTTAATTATCTCGACTCCTGTAAAAGATATAAACAATTTGTCAACCAACTGATAAAATATTGTTGATAAAATGATAAATATTATGGCAGTTGACTGCGTTTTGATGTCTTTCACAGGAATCGAGATAATTAAGCTCAAAGTTGAGTGGGCTTCTATTAGAGGAAATACGGTGATTGAGCTAAAACTTGACAGGCTGGGAGCCCTTCTATTACAAGTTTTACAGCAAGCTTTTTCTGTCACTCACGATTCTTCATCATCCAAAACAATGTTGCTTTTCCTGGTTATCACCACTGTTCCACTCTCATCTGATCCTCCAGACACCACGGATGACGTGGCTGACGGTGGTAACGAAGCACGTACAGTACCCGGTGGAGAATAATGAATTACACTGGTTTGAGCAATACTTCCTTTTCTCTGAATCCAATAATTTGATTAATTAATTCAAAAACAATGAAATTTACCGGTGGCATGACGTCTTCTGGAGGTGTAGAAGAGAAGGCCAATGACGTTGTATCTTCCGTAGTTGCACTCTCAACGGCAGTGGTTCTGCAATTCAATTCCAATCATCTCCGTTCTCCTTTCTCTTATTTTTTGTGTGTTGACTTGAACAAAGTTGGAAGAAATAGAATTGAAATCAGAGAGAAAGTCTAGAATAGACTAAAACTATACGTTCAAAGAGAGAGACAGGTATAATGTTGCGCATAATTATGTGAAAAGTGGGTACGGTTGGGAAACAGGGAGAGAGGAGAAAGAGGTTTATATTAGCTGATTTCGAACAAGTATAGAATAGAAAAGTGGCAACAAAGGTTGGAAGTGGTCAGTAGTATTATTTGTATGTAGAATGAAATTTAGAAAAGAGGAAATACTATTTAAAGGGTTGAGTCGGATTCCAAAATAAAAGATTCGAAAATATGTAATTCAAGGAAAACTGTCTACGGATAATTTTCCTAGATAACAAATCGGGTCACATTACCGGACCATCGTATCCATTTTAGACTCCTAAACCTAGACTTACCAATTTTAGAAGCCGAAGAAACAAAACTAAAGTTGGGTCAACAATTTCTCGAACTCTCAAATTCCTTAAATTTTCAAACTCGGAAATTCGAAAACTAGTCGGAAGTTCAAAATTTTAAAAGGTTCTTGAATTTTGGAATTCGCGAACTCTCAAATTCGCAAATTTGAAAATTCAGAAAATAGAAATTCAGAAACTCAAAAACTCAGAAACTCAGAATTTCAGAATATCAGAAATCCCAAAATCGGAAATTAAAAATTTCAGAAATTCAGGAATTTAGAAAATTAAATATTCGGAATATCAGAAATTTAGAAACTTAATTAATCAGAGTTTGAGAAATCTGAATGTTAAAAAACTCAGGAACTCAGAAGTTAGAAAAAATTGGAATTCCGAGATAAGAAACTCAGAAAATCCAGATTTCCAGAAATTCATTATTCAAAACTTCGGTTTCAGAAATTCCGAAAATTAAAAAAAAAAATTATAATCTCAGTAAATTAGTTTTTGAGAAATTTGAAAATTCAAACATTCGGATGTTCAGAATTTTTTTAAATTCTCATTTTCAAGGATTTCAAAAGGGTGCCCCTATTTTTCCGGAATATTCAGAAATCTCCTGTCAGTTTCCAAGTTTTCGAACCCTTTTATTTCCAATTCAATTACCAGACCTAGACTATTCCTTCGCTATGGTTTCTAGATTAATTAGAACATTTTTGATTTCCAAAATTTCGAATTTCCAAAACTGAAAATATTTAAAAACTACAGTAATCCACTTTTTTTAGAATCAACTTCACAGTGGAATATAAAACGATATTACATAAACTGGATATATTATCGCGTTTGAAAAGTGAAATCGAAACACCAGACGAACATAGAAGCTCCGGTGTTGGCGAGAGCTCACAGCTGGGGAGCTGAGCAAATACAATATTTGGCACTTTGGAATAAAAAGCGAAACGGAGAAGAATTTTTGAAAAACTATGTGACGTGGCAAGAAGGAGAAGGAGAAGAAGAAGAAGTCTAGTTTGAATTTCAGTCCGTTCTTACTCCCTTTTTTCTTATCATCGCAACTCTTTGTCCTACCTGAAAACGTCATGTCATTAACCATCTCCTCGTAATGCAATAAACTTCTTCCCATTCTTTTTTCCCCAATTCACATTATTTTCCATCGTTTAATAAATATAATCATCATACTCATCATCACTCCATTTAGAAGAAGTGAAAACAGAAGTGGAAATGTAGAAAAAAGGAGAAAGACAGGATACAGGCAAAAAACGAAAACGGAATTGAATGGAAATTCATTTTCGGATTTGGATTGAATTGGTGACAATCAGAAGAAGGGGAAAAAACACAACTTTGAATTTATAGAGGATTCTACAGATTTTTTTTGCATTGGACAAAGATCACTGGTGGTTGTTTTTTTTATTAGATGCGAGCAGGTGGAAGATTTTACAGTAATTTATGAGTTTTTTGAAAAGGGGCAATCTTTCTTATATATAAAACGCTAGAGGCGTCTGTCCGTCCTAATGTCCGTCTGTCAACTTTTGAAAAACTTTAAAAATAAGTATAGATTACGTGACCTAGATTACTAGATTACGTGAGAAAACGTGAATAGTGGAACGACGAACAAGTAAAAAAGTAGATTGAATCGCGCCGAAGGCACTAGCTTGCTGGTTAAAAAAAATAATTTTCGAGAAGTTAAAAAAAAAGATTTTGCGATAGAAAACTAAAAAAGTGAGTAATCACTCTGGTCTACTCTCAATGCGCGCTGAAGTCGAAATTTCGAGGGTGGGCGGAGCTTAGGTCCCGGAGCGAAATCCTTAAAGACACATGCAAATGAGCATGTTATTTTCTGGCCTATTCTTTTCGTTTTTTGAAAAGACGAAAAATAGGCCAGAAAAAACTTACAAAAATACATGTTCCTTTAAATGCGCATTTAAAGATTTTGCTACTAAACAAGAAACGGAGAAGAACAACAGTAACTAATCGAAAAACAAACCTGTTTGATTCGACGGATTCCTGCTGAAGAGGAGGAGCTGCCGGCGCAGGCGTCGTCTTCTGAAAATCAATAAATGTTATTTTCAGAATGTAAATAGAAACGGACCTTTTTGAAGATTCCCAAAAACCGCTTCTCTTTTGTTTTCATCTTCTCATCTATAATTATGAAATTTGTGATTCACAAAATGTGAAAGTAGGAATCACCCAAAAAATTGAGTAGTTGGAAGAAAAAAGAAAGAGCATGTAACACAAATCGAATGTTTGACTGATAACAGAAAAAAGTGTAAGAGATAGGGAGGACAAGAGAGTTATAGAAAATTATAGATAAGGATATTGATATGGGGAAAAGAAATAGAATGAGAACTCGAGAGGATTAGAGAGAACAAAGGAACATAAATAATATTTTGGTTTTAAGATTACTGTAGCCAGAAGAAAGTTTAAGTTGACCTATATATAAGCTATTTTTAAATGTTTCTATTTATGTTTAGATTGGACAACGAATAAAGAAACATTGTTTGTCCAGTAGGGAGGCTAAACCAGAACATTTTGCATGAATTCAATTAAGCATTATCGCACTCTACCTGAAAACTGTTCCGTTTAGTTGTCCAAAAAGTGAAGACAAAAAGAAAGTGAGATTTGAGAAAATGAATAAAATTTATATGGAGATATATATGGGAAAACGAAACTTTTTCTCGAATAAGAGTCTATTAGGTGGGGTTGGGAGGAGGTGGACGACGGGCGGAAAAACGGTTTGAAGTGGGAAGTTGAGAAAAAGAGAATCGGGAGAAAAGAGAGAAAAGAAATCATGCAATTGTCTGTGTGAAATACAATATGCACACAGTCAATGAACACGAAGGAGCTCCCGGGTACTTGAGAACAAATTGGATGAAACAGGGGGGGGGGACACTTTTCGCAGTTTAGAACAATTACAAATCATTTATTAGTATGGAACAAAAAAGAGAGAAACAATGTGAAAGAAAGCACAATTTTTGAAAAATGGAAAACGAAAATTGAGCTATTGTTCTTGGAGGATTTGTCAGAAGATGATATAAAATAATTGACGCTGTATGTAAGTTTTAGAAAAATACATTAAGTTAGGAAACCAAGGATTTGGAAGAGTTTACTTTTTTGTAAAACGATTCGGGCGTACAAGGGGGTACAACTGATTTAGGGGTACAAAATCCATGATTCGGAGTACAAAATTTTTAGCGAGTTGTATTTTTTGCACTTCTGAATCGAAGTTTTGTCTCTAAATGGTTCGCAGCTTCGTTTAGATAAAACAATTTCAACTCAACGGTACGAAAAATAAAATGTACCCAGGCATTTTGCAGCCCTCTGCCTAATTCAACCTCCAGGCTTCCGATTACTATATCTTACACTTGAATTTCACAATTTCCGAGTTTTCGAGTCCCAAATATTTCTGGGTACTTATAATTTCTGAACTTTCTGAATCCCCTACCTCTCACAGCCAATCACAAATTGATTTTCAGATGAACAAGTAGCAACGATCAAGACGCAAGAAGAAGTCAAAGGGAAGAGAACGGAGTGAGAGAGGAAAAAGGAAAGAAGAATCAGAGTGAGCGAGGAAAGAAGAAGAAGGTGACAGAAACAGCATCGAGGGCTACAACTGGAACTACTGGAAGTGGTGGATGCATTGGATTGCTGATCAATGGAGAAGGATGCAGTAAAATGGAGAGAAGAGAAAGGGCAAAGGAGAAGGAGAAGGAGCAGTGGAGTGGAGAGGAAATGGCGAAGAAAATGATTGCGAGTGTAGTGTTTGGTTGGTTTTAGAAACTTATTTTTAAATCAAAATGGGTATATTTCCAGACACGGGCCTGATCGCCTGCGCGTTCAAAGACCTTCGAAACGAGAAGCCTTCTCTAAATTTTTGCACTTCTTTCAAGAACAACATGCAGAAGGTCCGAGCTCCTGACTTTGTCAAGCTGACTCATGCTCCAGATAACTTTATCTGTGCAGCTAAAGTGGTTGTTCCAGAATTTAACCGAACAATGATAATCACACAAGTTCCCGATGTCTCTACTCCTGTTAATATTGAAGACTTCTGGAGAATGATATTTCAGGTAAAAATAGAATCGAATAAAACTCCAAGAACTTTTCCTTCTAGGAAGAAGTCCACTCAGTTGTTCTCGCTATCATACCACTGGAATGTTCGGTGACCCTCCAGCAGATGTTTCCAATTCTAAGTGGAACATTTGCCAATCATGGCAAAATGTTTCTGAACAACAAGAAAGTTGATTCAACGGTTGCCATGACTGCTTACACATTGGAGATTCTGCCAGACGAATGCTCGAATTCCTTGTTTACCACAGTCTATCATCTTCATAACTGGAAGCAGAAGAGAGGATTGGATAATGTTGGAGACCTGGTTTCTACAGTTGAGAAGGTTCTCAAGACTAATGAGGTGAGTGTTCTTTTGAAATTTTAAAAATTAAATTTGAAAAAATTTAGAACACAGTGATGATGAGTATGAGCGGAATGGGTCGTGCTGGAACGATGCTTGCTCTTTTCACTTCAATGCTTCATGTTTAAAAGGGAAAAGAAGTGAATCCGAAAGAGATTGTAGACAAGTTGAGAGGACAAAGATGTGGTCTCATTGAGAATGCGGAGCAATATGGAACGGTGTAAAGAGCAATCGCTCTGTGGTTCAAGAATAAATCCACGGATGAGGAGATTCAGAAAAAGGTCAATGAGTTTGCACCATGTGTTCAGTGAACTTTCTTTTACTTCAATAACTTCTTCTAATTGAAAAACCTTGGGAATGGGAATCTAGAAAAATGAGATGCCTGGAAGTCTATAAATGTACCATAAACACTCCGTCACCTCAATCTGCCAAATTTGAGCTCATATATCTCGGACCTTGTGAAAGATATCAAAATGTGGTCAACTGACAAAATATTCTTGATATTATGATAAACAGTTTGTCAGTTGACCTGATATCTTTATAATAACGCGAGATACATATATTGGCTCATAGTTGGCGGATCTTCGGTCAATCTATTTTTCGCAAGATCTACGTTTCGTAATTATTTTTCGACCCATTTTTGACGAATTTCGATTTGAATTTTTTTTTCACAAAAATCCCGAGAACCACAAAAAATCGTGTGAAATTTTTTCCCCGAATTTTAGATAAATTTCATAGACTTTGAACTTTAAAATAATAAATCTCATTGCCAGAAAATGAATCTTACAAATCTAGAAATTTAAACCTTCGAAAACCTTAATCTTAGAAAAATCGCATATCAACGATGAAAGCTATCGAAAACGAAAATCCTCAAAAAATCGACAAAAAAATGGCGAAAAAAATCACGAAAAATACATGCTCCTTTAAAGGTTTTGCCACCGGATTTAAGCTCCTCCCTCGCTCGAATTTTCAACCGTAATGCGCATTGAAATTAGACCAGGTAAATGACATCAATTGAAATAAATCAAAAACAAAACAAAACGATCCGTTCAACTCAAAATCATTGCTCTTCTCGTTCAACAACTCGTCCGAGGTGATAAGACGTCGGAAAGTAAGAAAAGAGTGATAGAGTACATATCTATTATGCACACCTCTCTAAAATGTCTGCGTCTCTTCGTCTTACACACTATTTTGCTCGTTTTGACAGGAAGAAGAGGTGTGGTCGAGCACACACAAATATTCTCGTTTTGGACGAGAACTGACAAGAGAAGGAAATAAGGAAATGAGGAGAACGAGGAATAGAGGAAAAGGTAATAAAGTTAGGGAGGGGGAACTTGGGTATATAGGTTATAGGTACTTCAGAATTATTCAAACTTTAATGAGACTTTTAAAATGTCATTTGAAAAAATAGTTTAAGTTGAACTCAATAAATAGTTTAGATGGATATACTTTAGATGAATTGACTTATTCGAAAAATATGTATCGTAAACACTACTGGAATGAACTCTCCCGATATTATAATAAACAATTTATCAGTTGACCATTTTTTGATATCTTTCCTAGGAAATGAGATATGCGGGGTCAACGTTGACGGTTTGGGGGCTGGGACACAGTGTTCCCTTCTGTTGATTTTTGAAAGCAAAAAAATCAGAAATTTTTGAATATGAATCATCAGTTTTTCTAGGAACCTAATTGGAATGTCAACAACAAAAAACCGCTGATAATTTCACATTTTTCGGTATCAAACCAAAACAAAGTGACGCCGACGAGTTGGCGGAAATTGAAATTTTTATATTAAGAACAGGAAGGAAAAGAAACAAAATAGTATTTCATTATAGTTAGACTTCTTACTGACTTTCAGATTACGGTAACATTTTTGAGTTTAAAAGGATTACTGTATCTGGATCCCAAAAATTCTGAGGTCTCAGAATTACTGTAGCTTTCAAATCGCCTATTTTGTAGTTTGATCATACAACTTTTCAATTTCTTTTGAAAATCTGCAAGAAGGATTACTGTATCTAGAATTCCTCAAAATTGAGGTTTTCTGTCGTTTCAAGAAACTCAAATCAGTATTAATGTAGGTTACTGTAAATTCCGAATTCGAATATTTTAAAACTTCAAGAACACTGAAGTTCAATTTATGGTATACAGTGTAATTCTAGGGTTACTGTAGTCAACTTTCTTTGGGAATATTTAAATTTCAGGATTCCAGGAGTAATTTAGTTTCGGATAACGGTTACACTTTGAAAAGTATTGTAGCTTTTGAATATTGCTTTTTTCGGGTTCAATTTCAGATATTCTTCCTGTTTACAGTTTATTTCTGGGGTTACTGTAAGTATTTAAAATATTCAAATTGCAAGATTACTGTAGTTTTGGATTGCAGTTGAACAGTGAAGATTACTGTAGCTTTTGAATATGTTGCATTTTCCCGATCCAATATTCTTCCTGGCATCTAAACTTTAAAAACAGTTCAAAACTGCTTGTAAGTCTGCTCTGGTCAACCTGGTCCTTTTCATAAATCACTCCAATCAACCAAAAAATAAAGAAAATGTTGAATCTAAAAATTCATTCAAATATATTTACAAGAATACAGCGGTCAGTCGAGACTTGGTTCGTTTGTGAAGAAGTCAGTTAGAGAATCGAAATGAGTGAGAAGAGGTCAGTGTTATATCAAATGATTTCAATTTGAATGTGTGTCTCTCTTTTATTACCATCTCGTCACGAGTCATCGTCATCCGAAATGTGGAATAGTTCATCAAGGAATGGATGATCGGTTAGGGAAATCATACGAAGTGCTGATTTTGCTTCGGCCAAGTCGGGGAGCGCCTGAATTTATATTTAAAAATTGATCTATCACAAAGTTCCTAAGCCCACCTGCCACTTCCTTGCCCTCAAATCAAGTCTCTCCGAATCTTTTGTCGTTGATTGTCCATCGAATCCACCAGCCACATAAACCGAAAAATCCATCGGACAAGCCGAAAAGTTTGATCTGGCCGTGTGCATTACAGATACTGAATGCCACAATCCCTCTCTCATATCATATAATTCAGCAGTGTCAAGACGTTTGACTCCATTGAATCCTCCAAGTACCATACAAACATGATCCATGATTGGAACAGCAGTACATCCCGTTCGACGGGTCCTCATATTTGATGCCAGTGGATACCATTTGTCGACAATTGAATCATAGCATTCACCACCCAAATGAATATTTCGTCCATCGAATCCTCCAATTGCTATCACTTTGTTATCTATGGATACCACTGCTCCATCCGATCTCATGTGAGTCATATTGGCAATTTCAGTCCATCGATCTGATAGGGGATCGTATACTTCAGCAGTTTTCAGTCGAGAAACCCCATTCATTCTGAAGAAAATGAAGAAATTAGGGATTAGGAAAGTATCAGGGATACCCTCCACAAGCATAAATCAAATGCCTTCCATGAGAATCCTTGGCTTTTGTTCCCGTCACATAACACCTCTTATCATGCATATTTGCTCCACTTTTCCATTTTTTCGTCTCTAGATCAAAAACTGTTGTTGTTTGAAAATGCTGAATTCCGTTGAATCCACCAAATACCACAAGTTTGTCGTCGACCAATTCTATTCCATTGTAGGCTCGCCGGATATTTGGTCTGAAATTTAGAATTTCATAAATGCTGCAGAAATTTGAATTTTTTTTAAATTCATAAATCCTAAAAACTCCCGAGTATCCCGAGCCAGAAATCTGGAATTGGGCAATCTGGATTTCGAAAGTTTTTTTGAATTTTTGAAATTTTGGAATGCTAAACTTTCTGAGTTCTGTTATTCAGTAACATGGCAACCCTAGAATCGAATATTTTCAAAATTTTCGAAATTCTTCAAATCTCCAAATTTCGGGGACTCCGATTTTTTATTCCAAGAATTTCAGAAATCTCAAAATCCCGTTGCTCGCAGCAGAATACGGTTAAAACAGTCCAAGGCAAGATTACAACTCACACATCGTAATTGAAATTGCAAGTCTGCCAACGCTCACATCTTTTATTGAACACTTCAATCTTTTGAGCAACTCCACGACTCGCCCAGCCACCTGGAACAATCCAAATTTCTAATTCAAGAAACACCAAAAACAAGGAACTCACCAATAGGGTTTCCATTTTTGCGGGTGGAAGAAAGAGCCACCCGCCGGGGGGGGGGGGGGGGCTACCACCCACGGCCCCCCGCGGCCCCCGCGATTATTTGCGTGTGAATTTTTATTTAATTTTTAATGATAATCACGTATTTTCCGAGCCCCCCGGGCGGGTGCGGGCGGGTGAATCTCCCCCCAAATGGAAACCCTACTCACCAAATGAAACAACAGCTCCAATTGGCTGTCGATTCCGAATGACCTCATATTTTGTGGAATCTGGCTGTGGTCGTCGGGCGAAGTTTCGCTGAGCAAACTGCACGATTCGATCGGATTGAAGAGGAGAATTATGTTTGATCCAGTTGACAACTACCTGAGATTTTAAATCAAAATTAAAATCTGTATTTTTTTCATATTGCATACTGTCCGCTCATCCTCACTCTTCAAATTCAAATGTTTATCAGTGAGAAGTCCAATCAATTCATTTTCTTTTAGTGTCAAATATGCATTCGTGGCGAACATCTGAAACTATTAAATTCTCAGGAAAAATGGATTATGACTTACTGTCTGAAACTGGCGAATCATTGCTCTCCAGACTCGAAGAGCCAATGGTGTATGATAGAGCAAAGCCAGACGAAATATTTTGATGATATCTGAAAATTATCGGATATTCAGGTACTAGAACATCTTTCTCACTCTCGTGGGACAAATTTGCGCAGATGATATCACTGATATGCTCGAGAGCAATATTGATTTGAAGGTAGGCTGCTGGTTCCAAAAGCTGAAAAGGTTCCAGGTTTTCTAGAGATACTGTAGACGGATTGAACAACCTCAACTGCTTTTTGTAAATTGATGTTTGGTTTGATTCCTTGTTCGAAGGCTCGTGGAATTGTGATGAGAAGATGGAAATCAGATGCTGTGATTAGACGAATTCTGAAACAATAATATTTTCTAAAAATAGAGTTTTGTGATAAAAACTAACCGATGGGACGATGCTTGTGAATCACGGAATTCGTTAGAGAAAAGGACACGAAAGTAGGTGGAGTAGTGTGATAAAAGAGTTCGCTCGACGAAAACCTACAATAACTGTATATAAAAAACTTTGAATATCTTTAAAAAACTCATTTCTTCATTATTCCGACAAATAAGGGTGACTGTTTGACTGAGTTTCTCGTCGAATGATTTAGTGAGTTCATGTGAAAATTTCACACGTTTCGCCGGCGACTCTTCGAACGAAGAGTTGTAATCGATGGCGGTTCTCGGTGGTGGACTGGTGGCCAACTGGATACCAGAGACGTCACTGAGATCCATCTGAATCATAAAGTCGAGAAAAATTAAATTCAGAAGAGTCTACCGATTTTTCTGTAGGGGTGACGGCGGCGAAATGTAAAATGAAAGTTAGGGAAAACGAGTCGAGAAATGAGTTTGTATGTAGACGAGTTGATTTTAAATTGAATATTCTATTGCTCTTTTTTCTGGGGAAGATGTTGGAAAAATGACGAAGGAGCTGTAAGCATCACGCAGTTCACGGATTTTGATGCTTCCACTGACAAACACATATTTCTAGTTTCTTCTGTCAGGAGAATGTTTAAAGGATGCTACGTGAGAAATAATTTAGCTCATGATATGGGAATTTTATATTTTTGGGTAAATGGGAACATGAACTTTATAATGACTGTTCAAAATGAATGTTTTTATCTATAAATTGGTTTTGATAACTAAGAACAAGAAACTGGATCTATGAATTTTCAAAACCCTACTTCCCTAGTTTATATTTTTGTGGATTCAAACTAATTGATATGATCATCTCTATATGAATGGAATCATGAAATTAGATGTTTTTGAATTTTTAGACAACATGTCCTAGGAGCTTTTAAAAAAAATGAAAAACCATTAAAACGATGATCAGTTTATATCGTTATACCAGGAGGTCCCAAATTCAGCCAAATCCAAAAAGTTAGAAACCCTGAAATTCATTATTTCGGAAATTGAGGATTCGGAAAATAAGAAATTTGGCAGTTTGAAATCAGCCAATTCTTTAAAAAACTTGGGAATTTTGATGAAATTTCGTATATAAATCTCCGAGTTTGGACTTTCTCAATTTCTCAACTTTCGAGTTTCTTAAAATTATGCTTTTCAATTTTTTGAGAATCAGTTTTTCTACATTAATGAATTCCAGAAACTCAGTAATTTCAAAATTTTAGAAAAATCTGAACTTCCGAATGTTTTACTTTTCGAGTTTCTGAATTTCCTTATTTCCGACTTTCCTTATGCTCAAAATTCTGAATGTGTTCACTGAAATTCTGAGTTCCCCTAAACATGAACTTTTGAAACTCTGAAAATTTAAATATCCAATTTTTTGAATATAGACTATGAAAAAAATGGTCCCTGAATAAAAATGATGAAACCACTTTATAAGATTGCGGGTACTGTAAACGGAGGCCAGGAGGTTTAGCCCTGGAGGGGCGCAAACCGACTGATATCATTATAAAAGTACAAAATAAGAAAAATTCTCGAAAAGTATGAACTAAAAAATCCCATTCAGATCAACATTTCTGGGCTCCTTTCGATTTTTCAACCCTCTCAAAACATTCAAAACTGTCTCCATTTGTCCAAATCGTTTGATTTTCTGATTTCCATTTCAGTGCTTGAACTCCTTCACTGATTTCCTCCACTATTTTCATCACTTTCAGACACATTTCCTCCTGATTTGGAAGTGTTACAATTTGAACTGCATTCGGCATTCCAGTTGTTTCTTTGATTGCTTTTGCTTGAAGTTTTAACACAAAATCTCCCTTCGTTTCGAATTTATCGTTTTCTTTTTCTCGAACTGGAGATACTGGAACGATTGCAGCAGGGCAGTCAAGCATATTGAATAGGCCAGTGATGAAGACACCAGTTGACAGTTGAACAGGGTACTCGAAGGGTTGAGCAGGAGCTGAAAAAAGAATACTGTATTTATAGAAGTGATCAAAACTAATTGACAACACATACCGTTAAACCTTTATTGGAAGGGCCGAGACTTCTATTGTTCCAAGGTGTCTCTGGAGAGCCCTTCTATTACAGGACCCTTCAATTAGAGAGGGCCCTTCTTTTTCCGGTAATTTTTTCCAAAAAATTGCATTGAAAAATTCGGTGAATTCTCGTTCAAAATTAATTAAAATCTATCAATTTTACCAAAATTTGTTTTGAGCAAAAAATGGTTTTTTTTTTTCAATTTTCTTTAAATGTTGAAACAAGAACTTTTCAAGGGGCCCTAGTTTAAAAAATCCTCTCGGAGGGCCCTTCTATTAGAGGGGCCCTTCAATTAAAGGGGACCTTCTAATACAGGTTTTACGGTAATTTGCTAACGACCTACAGGGTGACGCGTAATTACCCTGAATGATTTCAGTAGCTTCGAATCAAACGCAAAACTATAATTCTACTAATTTTTGAGCTTTCAATATAATTAAGCTCAAAGATATCCCTTTTTTATTAGTTTGGCTAATTGTGCTACACCCTTTAATTTCAGAAGCATACTTATAAACGATGGACAAATCAATGCATCGATTCCCAAACTCTTCCAATATTTGATCCATTTAAACTTGAACGCATCGGTTTTCTCTTGATTCTGTCGAACACACCCTGGATTTGCATTGTATGCATTACCAAGACACAATACTTGTTTTGATTTCAATGAAGTGAATTGAGCCAGTGGAAGAACGACGTGTTGGGCGAGCCACCGGATGACGAATACCTGTTTATAGCGAACGAGACGAATGAAATGAGACATAAACCGATCATAGGGTTCGCCTGCATACATTTGGGACATGTAGGCACCGTTGTCCGGCATAACGTTCTGAAAATAAGGAAATTCGAATTTAAAAAACCCTCCCAGTTAAATAAAAAATACCCTAAACAACATATCGGCTACCACATATGGTTGAAAGTCTTCATCAATATCACACATTTTGAATTCTTTAATCTCATAACCCTTTAATTTCAGACTTTCGATCGTTTCTTCAACTGCCCGTTTGTTCGATGGAGCCACCTTTCCAAATCCGTCATCCACAAACCATCCGATGACTGGTTTCCTTCCACCTGGTAATTCTCCAGTTGATAACAATGGAGATAATGAAGAATAAGGACACATCTGATGATACTTCGGATTTCCCACTATCTGTCTCAACAAGAATTCTTGATCTGCCACGTTTCTGGTAAAAAATCCAGAGCTCAATCCAAGTCTTCCTCTTCCAGGAAGTCCAGGATTCATTGCGCTCTCGTGAAGTCTATCCTGAGTTGGTTTCAGAGTTACTATTCCACAAAATGCAGCTGGAATCCGAAGACTGCCAACCAGATCGTTTCCTATTCCAAAAACTGCTCCACCTGCAGCCAGAAGAGCTGCTTCTCCACCTGACGATCCTCCAGGAGTACGAGAAAAGTCCCATGGATTTTTAGTGGTTCCGTATAATGGATTAGATGTTATATACGATAAAAGTCCTTGTGGAACATTAGTTAAACAGAACGGAATTGCTCCTTGTTCTTTCAGAAACTGAACTAATGAGCATGTGGATTTTTCTTGCGTTTCCAAAAGGCTAGCCAATCCTACAGTAGCCTCATATCCATCCATCTGAATTCAAATTTTGATTTTCAAAAACTGATATCACTTTGACTCACATGGAAATTGCTTTTCACAGAAAACGGAATTCCAAATAGAACCGGTTTGGAGTGGCCACGATATTCGTCATCCATTTTTGCAACATCTGGAAAAAACAGAGAAATAAGATCCCTCATAAAAGTATAATTGCAAACCGGACCCTGCCATAGCTTCTTTTAGAATCAATATTTTTGATAAACTGAATTAGATATGATAGAACTCAGCAAGTACTAGAAAATGATACTATTTGAAAAACTATATCTTGTCTATGAAGAAAGTTACAAGCCATAAAGTGGCCGGTCCAGGTCGGGCCGCTCCCTGCCTGTTTTTAACCCGTTTTGTCTGTAACTTTGTTCATAGACAAGATACAGTTGTCCAAAAATATCAATTTTATTAGTCAAATTCTATCATATCCAATTTAGTTGCTCCGAAAATATTGATTCTAAAAGGAATTATGGCAGGGCATCCAAAGACCCGCCAGTAGCCCGGCTTACAAGTAATTGTTCCTGTTTTCTTACCAATAAAAGCTCCTTTTAAAACTTCTGTGATACAATTTAGTTTTTGATTGATTTTGATTGCTCTCCAAACATATGCACTCAAAACAGTGTAGGCGTTGTATTTTTCAGATTGGAGGGCTCCTGGAAATGGGTTTCGAATACAGTAACCCAACCGGTTCTCAACAAACCCCGCAAAGTTGGAAAATCCATAGCGAGAACCGTTTGAAAGCTCTTTTCAATTTCTTCAGCATTTTCTTTAGGTCCATTTATTCTTTCATTATGTAAAAGATTAACCGGAAGAGTTCGATTCTCGAAATCCAAAAATCCGTCCGTCTGACGGATACGAAAATTATGAATCCGTCGTTTTCGAGATGGTTTTCGACACTAAAACATAATTAAGTCATGAATTATGATAGCCACTTACCTTTTCAATTAAAATTTTAGGGATGGCATAAATCATCAAAAACGGAAGACTAAAGAGATAGAATATGAATACAAAGAATCCGATTAGGAATCTTCCCAGACAACTCATCTTCTTTTTTCTAGACAAAAAATATTCCAGTTGGGGGTGAGGAGTGAGGCCAAAAACAGATTAAATGATTCTATTCAATGAAAAAGAACAGAATAAAAGGAGAGGTGTTTTCGTGATTTCCGATTCATTTTTTGAAGTCGAGTGGGCTGTAATTGTAGCGAACGAGTACGATTCTTTCATTTTCAAATTTCCCATTTCTTGGATTAATAGTGACGAAGACGCGATGTAGTCACCGTTCAGTCCCGGCGTCATTCAAAAGTTCAGACATACTTCAGACAATAAAGAATAATTATATTATTCATATCAACAAGAACAACAAAATTAGAACAACTTTAAGTATGATTAGTCAATTCATAAATTTCGTTTTGCTTATTCGACATCAATGCCACATCTCTTTCCAGGAAGTATGTCTTCATTGTCACTATTTTCACTTCTACCTTCCGCACGTCTTCAAAACTTTGCACGTCTTCTGATGTGTTTGCAACGATTAATGCTTTCTTGTTATGAGACAAAATCCGAGTGAGGGTTAGAAGCCGTTGAGGATCAATCTCATTTGTGATGAGAACTCCAGCAGATGAATGATAGAATTGAGCACCGTGACAGTAAATTACTGAAAAAATACAAATTTGAGAAATTCGGCCTTGAAAGGAGCATACAAAAATGACATCCAAAAGTGAGACCACTCGAAACGATCCATCCATTCAATTTCAAAAATCGAAAAACGGCAAAACACTTTCCAAAATCCTCCGGTTTATCATCGTAGTCTTTCATTTTCAACCAAATCTCATTATCCGTCAAAACTTTTTGCATATTTTTTACATTCAAAATCTGCCAGTCAATAGAAAGTAGTACGGTTTCCATTGATGACAAAACGAGTATATTGTAAACTGGGGATTGTTCTGAAATGTGCATTTTCTTTATATATTTAATTTGCGAGAAACGAACCTGACCAGTTTTCGGCAGCTTTTTCAGCCATTTTATGGGAAGCTTCGTCTCCGTCTTCCTGACAAAAACAAGTACTGCTAACTTCTCGACTTTCGTTTCTATCATCATCCAACCATTGTCCAATTCCAGCATTTTCGAAAAGAATTCGAGAAGCCTGTTCATCGAATATTTGTACAAGACCTCCATTCTGAAATTTTCAAGTTGAAAGATTTAATAAAACCAATCAACTACGAAGTAGGCGACAATCTTTTGATTTCCTAACATCTCGTGAAGGTCTTCTTTATGAAAGCATACGGGTGTTTCTGATGGATTTTTGTTTCGTTTCGCATCGAATACCAAGAGATCCATTTACTGAATATATTATAACTCTAAGTGTTTAAAGGAGGCCAGACATCAAAAAAAAGTTTTCCTGATATTTTGCCTAGCGAACCCCCATGAGGGGTTGACCTCTTGACAGGCAGCTCAGGGGTACAGCGCCGCTACCGGCTAAGCTAAGGGGCGCAAACACGGCTGACGACCGATGGCCTACATAAGCGCGGCGCCATTTCGTCCCCCAAACTGTCCCACAAAATTTTTGTTGTCTCGCCTCCTTTAATGGTGCATTGCAAAACTGATAAGAATTTCAGCGAGCTCTTCGCGTTTTTTGTAATTCTTATTTTAAGAAACAGTACATTATTCAAATCTTGTTAATTCTTGTTAGAGTCCACAATAAAAATACAAAGGATATCAGGAAAAAAGGTTAAGAAAATACTGAGTCGAGAATAAAGATTGTACAAGAATATGAGAATCGACATAGCATGTTAGTCAGTTTGAATAGAAGAATGTAAAACAAAATTACAGGATGGGATAACTGTTATTGAGCATTGAGGAATGTTCTCGTGGCAGGGTCCCATGTGAGCCTCGGAACACCTTCTGAGACATCTTCGATCATTCTCATTACGCGGAGACAATCTTCTTCTCGACCCATACCAGCGACTACCTGGAATAATTGAAGCATTCTATTCATAAATAGATTTTTTAAATACCTGCACAGCATTTGGAAGTCCCCTTGTGTTTTGAGCAGCCTCTTTTTGCCATTTGAGCAGCTTGTCAGATCGTGTTTCGAATCGTTCGTTCAAGGCCACCTCATCTTGCTGGCTGACTCGACCAACAGGGACGATTCCAGCCGGTACATCAAATAAATTGAAAAGACCAGTCATGAATGTGCCTGTGGCAAGCTTCGCTGGATAATTGGGAGGCTGTGCAGGAGCTGAAAAGTGAAATTATACACAAGGAAATACTTTTGAAAGAATATCTTTGAATCGGCTGAAAAAAGTTTTAATCCGAAACTTACTTATGAACGACGGACAAACCAGGGCGAATACGTTGTTATCATGCCAGTGTCTGGTCCATCTGTTTCTGATATCTTCCGTCTCAAGTTCGTGAGCTTCCGATGCAACATCATCATTCGGCCTAATCGTTGAACGAGCAAGACATGCGAATCGTGGGGAAATCCATTTGAGAAATCTTTGACCCAATGTAGACGAAGTGATATAATTCACCCACCATCCCAAGCTTTTCATCTTGAGCAGGAAAATAAAGAGCCACATGAACTTGTCCCAAGGTTCATTGCAGTACAATGCAGACATTCCATTTCCATTGTCGGGCATTACGTTCTGTAGAAAATGGAAAATATTGCAAAAAATTAGCTCACATTTACAGCATGGGGACCTTCTACTAATGGAACTACGGTAGGCTTCAAAAAAATTAACCTTGAATAGAGTTTCAGCGATTTTGAACGAATAATCTTCCCCGTTGTTTTCTTCACCTGGCGCCAAATCGCTCAAACAAAACTTTCGAAACTCGAACTCTGCTTCATGACGTATTGTGAGCTCTTCAATGACTGTGCGAACAGCGCTTTCATTCGATGGAACCACAGGACTGAATTCATCATTGTACATGTAAAGTATCACTGGTAGTTGTCCGTTTCGACGATGATCTTCTTCCCGTTGAATATCATTTTGCTGAATATCGTTTTGCTGAATAACATTCGGCTGAATACCAATCGGCTGAACATCATATTGCTGGAGTCCAGGAACATTGCGAAGTCGATGTTCGTCCAGTGGTCCGTACACGTTTCCGAAGACAAGACGTAGAAGAAAATTCTGCTCCTCTACTGTTCTAGTGAAAAAAGAACTCAATCCTAGTTGTCCGACTTCAGGAGGTCCAGCATTCATTCCTCTTTCAGGAAGCCTATTCTGACTTGGTTTCAAAGTAGTAAGACCGCAAAATGCAGCAGGGATTCGAAGACTTCCAACCAGATCATTTCCGACTCCAAACACAGCACCGCCAGCAGCAATGAGAGCAGCCTCTCCGCCAGAAGATCCTCCTGGTGTATGAGTTAGCTTCCAAGGGTTTTTGGTAGTTCCATGTAAAGGGTTTGAAGTTACGTACGCCAACAATCCTTGGGGAACGTTTGTGAGACAAATTGGGATAGCTCCTTGATTTATGAGAAACTGGACGAGTGCGCAGGTTTCCGGTTGAGGAGCCTCTCTAAGCGTACTTGCCAATCCGTTTGTTGTGTAGTAGCCTTCTACCTAAAATAGGTCGTAAAATAAACGAGGCTTACTAGACTTGCGGAAACGATCCGGAAATATCGATTGCAATTTTTTCGGACTTACATGGAAATTACTCTTGATCGAAAAAGGAATTCCAAATAATGGTCCCCTTCGCATCCTTCCGGCTTGCACCTCTTCATCCAATGCAGCAGCTCTTTCGATTGGATTACGAATAAATTCGGTGATACAATTCAGTTTCTCGTCAACTTGGATGGCTCTTTTAACATATGCAGAAACAACATCTCGTGCTGTTAACTGACCATTTTGTAAGGCACCTGAGTAACCAATTTTTTCAAATAACCACCCAAGATAAATGATCACCTCTCAAACCCAGCATATCTCTGTTCACAATTATGCTAACAGCATCATCATTGATATTTTGAGTTGCAGCGACTAGATCTGCTTTTCTCCTTTCGACCGCATTGCGATAATCCCGCACAAAAGGTTGGCGTCTAGTTGTCCAGAACGGCCATCTCCAGAAATCGCTGTAATTCTGAAAAAGAAAGTAATGCTTAAAGATGGTTATCTGAAAATGAATTTTGAATGAGCTTATTGTCGGAATTATAAAACTGCGACCTCGGTGTAATAACTCTGAACTCACTTCGATTCCATCTGGGATCACAGGGACTCTATCCGGACCGACCGCCATTTAAGATACAGTGATAGAGTGAACTTTTCCTACTAACAGCCAAATATACTGGCAAGTCAAGTGTTTTTTTTCTAGTGACTGACAAGAACTAGATTGAAACTTTCGCGCGTCTCTAGATGAAGAGGTCAAAAAGTACTTTCAGTGGGGCGGGTCTAGATTTTTCAACCTACCGTATCTCCTTGATAGCCAAAGATTGGAAGGTGCTGATTTCATTGAGTCTGAAAAAATTTGATTATTATCAGACGTTTATAGTTTCCTTAGTTAGATGTAGGTTGAGTAACCTTTTTTTCTATGTTACTATGCGTTTTTTTCAAGATCGCAATATTTCATTAGTCTGGTAAAGTATACAAAAATGATTATTGTCGAATTGAAAAAAGTGACACCTGAAAATTTGAAAACTTTTGCTTTTTTTTATCTACGAAAAAGTCCGGCAAAAACGCAATATTTTAGAATTTCGGCTCGTTCGAGCTACTTTCGCGTTTAAGTTAAGTTTTTTGCAAAAATAGATTCTAGAGATGCTGGCGATCATTTTTATACCAAGAAATTAAAATTTTGTTCAGAAAATCCGAGACTCCACCGATTCCGGGGTT